ATGTAATGCACACGCAATTCGTAAATGCTGATAAGTCTACACGTATTTCACTTTCATAGTTATCGTTAGTATTTCTATTTGTGCACGCTTGGAAGGGTTAGCGCTGAAGTGTTTGGTGGTTGTGTACATTGTAAGTATATATTTCTATGCACGTGTGTGTATGTGTATATATATATATGTATATGTATATGTATATGAATGTGTGTGTACGTATTGTGCTCACTCAATGCAAGAAAATAAATGTGGCAAGAGAGTGTTGTCATTTGCACAGCTCACAAACACACACACACACACACACACACACACACACACGCATATATATGTATATGTATATATCGATATAAGAAGCAATTGGAAAAGCCTATGAACTGGCAGCGCTGCTCGCTCTCATCAACAAGTTGCATTGGCTATTAGTTGGACTTCAATTTGCTTTTGCTTGACCCCATGTAAGTGACCCGACAGCTGTGGTTCTCAAACACTAGTGAGCGTAACCTGAATAACTTCGACTCTCTCATACTCCTTCTTACACTTAGTACAAATAGTATAGTACAAGGAGGCTAATTATCAGTAAACAGTCCTTAATGATGATATAATGTATTGCTTGTTGCTCTCACATTCAATCGCTTCATCTACTATTTTAAATTATAAATTCTTCACTTATTAATTTAGCATTTTTCTCATTTGAGTAGTCTTCGTTGCATTGCAATGTAGCAGCCTTTTGATTGCTGCAAAATGCCAATTTAGGAGTGTAGCGAAGGATGGATTTGCTCGGTAAAATAGTAAGTATGACTTTGATATACAGGACTTTTGTCATTTCAAGTCATTTTCATTCTTTAAGTCAGCAGCGATGAATTTTCATGAACAGTCCAATTAATTACTTAATTAATTAATTTAAAATAATAAAATCATTACTTAATTTAAAAACATAGACTATAATTTGGTGATCGAATTGCCACTTGTTATCACTTCATCTGTCTACAAGTACTATAGATTAATGATAAGATCGTGTTATTCACTTATATCTTCTCAATATGCCTTACTTTTCTTTTAAAAAATTTTCTGCAAGTAGTACACAGAATGAAGTTAGGTTGTATTTACAATTCTATAAGCGTATTGTTACAGTCCATCCATGACTACAGTCCAGTCTAATTAGCGTGTAGTTTAAGCTAGATATGTTGGTTAGTTGTGTGCTCCTTGTACAGCTAATTTTCTGCCTTGTAATTTAAATTCTTTAAAATTTAATTGCTCAAATTTGATTTTGTAAAATAGTAAATTGTAGATTTGTTTATTTTTTACACTGCAATGTGTTATTAAATAAGTTTTTGGTAATAAATTGTGATAATTTTTGTATACCATTTGGTGATTATTGTGTGTTTTGTTGACGCATAATGCGTGGATAAATATGATCCATAACTAAAGTACAGTATTATTTTTTCTTAGCTAAAATTGTATGGTTATAATTAATTTTGTCAAAGAAGTGAACATATCTTTGAATAGCTTACAGTACGGATTAATTACATTATCTTTTACTCGTTTCTTCAGTTTATAACTGTTTGCTATTTGTGTTCAGAATTTTTAATTATTCTATCGCGCAGCTCTTCTCTTGTCATATTACAATGAATTTCTAGCTGTGGTAAATTTTCTTAATGTGAAATGTTATATTTTATGCAAATTTATGGTTACTCTTAACAATTATTATGAGTAATTGTTATTTAAATAAATTGTAAAAGCTACTTATATTATTTTACTTGTATGTGTGTGCGTGTGTTTGAGTAAGAAAAAGTAAATTAGAATACAAATTGTGATTGTAAAATTATGTATTTATTTTTTATTTTTAATTCTATTTTTGATTTTTACTTTTTAACTTACTGCTTAAATTTTATATTTATTAATCTATTTTCTTTGTTTAACGAATTTACGACAATAATAACAACAATCGTAATTGTTTCTCTTACTTCCGTCACGTTAATCGTTTCTTTGTATAATAAATTACTTTCATAGATTTATATTGGAATTTATGACTGAATTAAATATTTATTTGTGATCAAATTTTAAATGTCACAATTAATCGCTTATGCTCAAAATATATGCTAGAAACTTTACTTTAAAAATAATTTGAGACTTTCTTTTTTTCATTTTTGCAAAAATTTTGCATTTTTTTTTTTCATTTTAAGGCGTGATATATTATTGAAAAGAAAAGGTTTTGGCAATTAATCCAAAGTAAAAATAATACTAATTTTAGCTGCCTAAATGTATTTGCGCGGTTTGTTTAAGTAACTTTTGAATAAATTACTTTCAGAGTTTATTTAGAAAAGTAAATTTTAGAAATTAATTATTTTAGCATTTTCTAAAATGTTCATCCTTTAATACAATTTATTTCAAAGCAGAGTAATTTTTCTTTTTTTTACTTTTTCAGTGCTATCAAATTTATGTTTTATTTGCTTAACTTTGGTGTTTGTTCACAAATTTCTTTGTAATTCCTAGCATGAATGAATGACAAATCCATAAAAGTCCGTTGTAAGGAAATATCTATAAAAGTGAATTTTGTTTTCTTCAAAAAACAGGTTTTTGAAGAAGATTTTTTGATAAATTATAGTAACACATCTGAAATATTTACGTTTTAAATTTGAAAAATTGCGCTATTTAGAATATTAAGTGTAATTATAAAATGTTTTTAAGTTGTTTACTTCGGTGTGATTATAATTTTTCGCTGAAACGCGTTTTATTTCACGTTTATTCATTCATCCATTGGATAAATATAAAATAAGTTTCATATTTCAAATTTATTTTTTGAAATTTGAAAAGGAAAACTTCTCTACAAATACTTTCCTTAGTCTAAACATTAATTGTGAAGATTCGCGTTGTAGCGTTGTATTTTATCACGTTATCCAATGTAAGTTGATGAAGTTCTTCTGGAACCAGTTATTATGTTTTATAAAAATACAAAGGATATTAGAAGAGCTATTTTGACTAACAAAAAAATGTACTAAAATTTCTAAGCAACTTGAAAATATTCTTGTAAATATTTAGTTTTTCAAGCTTTTTAATTTGTGTCAAGTTCAAACTATCAGTCATTCAATTTATGCATGTTTGCAGTTTTCTGAAAATAAAATTTTGCTTCATTTTTATGCCTTATTTGGGCTTTTCAAGATTTGCTGTTTTTGTCTTTCTTAAGTTTGAAAATAAACAGTTGAAAGATTTTTGCATTCTGAAAAATCCTGTGCTTATGATTCTTACGACTAATGCTTTATGTATAATGCGCGCACTGTATAATACGCATTTTGTGGATATTACAAAAACTGTGAAAATTATTTCAAGAAAATAGTCTTTTTAATTGTTATATATTTTAATTATACCATTTAAAGTAAATAAAATAACTTTTTAATATAGTAATTAATTCAATTGTTTATTTAATAATAGTTAATTATCGGCATATTTCTGTGATAAAGACTTTAGTTGAACAAGTTTAAAACTTAAATTGATATTTGACTAAGTCATTGAGTCCGAAATTTAATTATAAAATCTTGATTGCATTGCATTCAATCCATAATGATAATTAGAGTGGCTTTTTATGATATTTTAAGTTCAAAATCATTTACAAATGCGTTTGTGAATAAAGATATTATCTTTTTCAAATAATAGTTAATTATCAGCATAAGCTCTTTCAAAGCTTTTTACTATAAATTAATAATAATAACAATTAAATAAATAAATAGTAAATAAATAAATAGTAAAAATAGACAACGCTTAATATCCTTAAATGCATAAAAATAAGGCAGTCAATAATAAAAAGAGTTTTCAAGACAAGTACCGAATGAATCAGATAAGAAACTAATTTTCCACTGGAATAAAAGTAATCTTGAAAATCTGCTAAAGCTTAAGTGTTCTTAAACCATCGCTAATGGATGAATGCAAGAAGAATAATCAGAATGCTAACAGTTTATACTTAAGCATAAACATTGTTTTGTTGTTGCAATAATTATTATTTATTAATTAAGTACAGAGTGAATTATTTTCATAGATTGTGAATTTTGAGAGATAATTTATTTAGTAACTTAATTCATGAAAAATTAACTTCTGTGAAAGTTTTTAATATATTTATTTATTTGGAGAAAAAAGTAATAAAAATTACATCACTAATAATATTTCAGTAATATTTTTGAAAATTATGTGATAAAATTTGCATGTAACATTAATAATACGTATATTTTGAAAATTTATTCATATTTAAGCAGTGATGTTTTAGATTGTTGTAGTTAGCAATTTTGCTAGAAAAGGTCAGGTTTTATCTCGAAGATTATTTTGTGATGAAAAAATAAAACTTTTCAAGATTAAGTATTGCATTTTTGAATAAATGCATTCATTATATTACTGCTGAAAAATTATGTTAGTAACTATAAGTTATTAACTTTTATTCGTTGAACGGTTGGTTGATCTCCTTGGCATTATTTTGAGAGTGGATATAATGGTGACGATGACATGTGTATTTGGATTATTCATTCATTATTCTATCTATTTTTATTGCTGTGTGATATCAATAAAAATGGAAATATTATAAAACTAACACAACAATTATTAATTATGTCTAATGATTTTATTTCTTTGTGGTAAATAAATTAATTAGTCTTAAATTTTTGTACATTTTCAATTTCATTTACATAGCTGCCAAGTTGAAATGATTTTTTGTGCTATTGATAACAAACGAAAATGTTAGCATAGTCATTACAGAAATAGTATTGTTTTGGAAAGTCATTAATACAGTTAAATATATTTTAATTCGCTTCATTCATAATTAAAACCATTAATTGCTTACGTAGTTATACAAGTGCTGATTTTTTAGAACTAAAAACTTTATATTATTGTTATTTTTCTCAAAAATATTGCTCTATTCATTTATAAATATTTTATATGTCGGATGACAAAATGCTATTTTATTTTATAGCAATTTTTATGAATGTATTTTTGCAGATTTATTTGTTTAGTATCCGAGAACTGAACGGATGGGCTCCTGCACATGCGGTCTATATGTTTGTCTTCAATCTTCATTATTCATCTTAATTTTTAATCAAAATTCTTTGATTTTCCTGTTCAATTTTGAAATTACAGTTGAACTTTGATAGTAATAATAATAATAATAACGATAACATTATTAGTAATGATAATAATAATATCAATAAAAATAAATAAGAATAATGAAGTTTATTTACAGTTGACAGAGTAGTTGGAAATGCTATAATAACTGGTACCATTGGTGTACAAACAAAAAATGTATTTGTTTCTCCACCACTTACGTGCTATCCTTTTCATGCTATATCCGAGCAACAAATACATGTAAGTAGACAAATGTAATGCACACTTGTAAGTATTGTTTTTGAAGAAATTTGTGTTTGAAATATAATTAATTATTTTGCATGCACAAAAACTGTGACGACTGAATTTTGTTTCAGTTAACAAAGCAAAAAGTACTTCAATGGCTGCATTGTTAGCATATTTATTTCAGAGCTTTTAAATTTCAAATTTACTCTCAAATTACAAGTTGTTCTAAAGTTACTTTTTGATAAGCTTAAGGCATAAATAACATCAAGCAAAAAAGCTTTCATTTTGAGATCGTTTTTTAAAAAAGTTCTTAAAAATATATTTTTATTTTTTGTCAAACATTTAGTTTACAAAATTTCATGCGTTTAAATGTTATAACACTTCAATATTTGAAATATTCATATTTGAAGACAGCAATTTTAGGTTTTTTATGTCATAATGGCACACTTTAAGTATAAAGATTCTTAAGTCTATTAAATAAGTTTATTAAAAAATAAAATAGCATCCATGCACGATCCTGCCAAATCATTTTATTATTATCAAACGGATTAAATTATTTAAGTTAACTTGCGGAAACTCAAAAGTTGAATTAATTCCGTAACATTTGATAGGATAAAGCTTGGATTGAGTTTTTCATTTCAATTTTTTGATTATTAAACTTTTAGGTTTTAAATGGTTCTTCTCCCACTCAAACTGTGGACTGTCTGTGTTTAGCTCACGATGAAAGGATTCTCGCGTATGCCACTTCTGCAGCTATAAAACTTGTTGATCTGCAAACAGGTATTCCATAACAGTTTCAATTAGTTCACTATTCTTGAATATATTTTTTAAGATTAATTGAATGATTAATTAATCAGTTAATCATATTACTTTTTAATATTACATATTTGCTTTTAGTTAATTAGTTAATTAATTATGTTACTTTTTATTATTACATATTTGCTTCCTCTTTAAGTATTGAGAAGAACATTTTGTGCTTTGCTTAATGTATGTTCGTTTAAAATTTTAAATAAAAATTATTCAATTTAAAATAAAAGTGATTTACTAAGGAAAGCTTAAGCAAATTTGATACAAACAAAGTTAGATATTACAGTTATTTTTTATTATGAGCAAATAATTAATAGAATATTGAAAAATTATGCATTAAGAGCAATAAAAGTGTTACGGATTACATTCTCCTCGCAGAAATTATTTAAAATTATTGTTTAAAATTCTGAAAATTACGAACTAAACTAATATCAAGTTTCATTTTTATACAAGAAGAACAGTCTCAAAAAAGAAAACTTCTCTTTCCCCCAATAATAAAATATACAACATCGATGTAGCACAGCACAATAATATCAAAATCAAGTGATTGCATATTAAAAATTAAAAATATGTTAAAAATCTTTATATAAATAATATATGAATTTGTTAATTAAAAAAGCATTTAAATAAAATGACTTTTTGCTATGATATCTTTTAGCGAGAAATTTCAGCAATTTTTATTATTGACAAAATTATAATTTTAAAAAATTTGTTTTTTTTGGATAAGTTATGGAAATCAGATTTTCCATAGAGTTCACGAAGTGAAATTCAATTTCAGTATTAATTTTTGGTAATTATACCTAAATTGTAAAATTGCTGTCATTATAATATAAATTATTCTCGCGCTCTGATTTCATTGCGTTGCATAAAATTTTCCAATTCACTTTTTAATATTATTAGGTCATCTTTCAGCTGTTTTTTTTTTGTTATATTCGTTGTACATAATTTTCAAATTTATTACACTATCATTTTTCCACTTTTTTGATCGAAAAAATAATAATTTGATATCCATTGAGTGATTTGCAAAAATTTTTAATGTGATTTATTTTTATTTTTTATTTAGTATGATCAATATTTATTTACATTGAATTTGTTTTAGGACGTGAAATCCGAACGTTGGTTGGTCACAATGGGCAGACTAATACTATCACACAAAGTTATAGGTAATTAATTTTAAAATATTATTTCATGCAAAACTTCTTAGATTTACTGTACTGAATAATTTTTCAAATTTATACCTAAAAAACTTTTCAAAAAATTTTTCATTTAAATTTTCAAATAATAGTACTATTGCATTACATAGAAGTAATAGGTCACAAATTATTATTATTATTATTATAGACAATTTATTCAGTTAAGACCAACTTATGAATTACTATTGTTAGCTTCTGTATTTCAACAGTTGTTCTTTCATATTGAGCTTAAATGAAGAAGAAATGTAGTATGAATTTGAGCAATATTTGAGCTTGCGTGATTATTTATGAACATTTATTAAAACTTTTAATAATTTTCATTTGTTATATGAGCATATTAATTTGTGCAAATTGAGGTCCATTTATATGTGGTCATCAGCAGCAACTGATTGTACAGTAACTTTATGGGATACAAGGCAACATCCGGCAAATGTACAGATGCGTCGTTTCGACCATCCAATAAACTGTATGCGTTACAGTCCGAATGATGCTTTCATAGCTCTTGGCTCGAATCACATACATATGATGGATCCGCGCGTGAGACAATACAGATCTCTTCCATCCTCATCTCAGGTAAATCAAGTTATCACTGGTTATATAACTGATTTTGTAGATTTGAGTTAGTCACAATAGGTAAGCATGATTAGGATCACTTAAATAAGACATTGATTTGATATTTGAATTAATAATTAATTTGCATAAATATTCATTGATTGAGGATGACTTCACTTTTCGAAAATTATTTACAATATTTTAGTAAGTTGAGCGAAAATTATAAATGTGAATTGAAAATTGTGTAAATTATCAAAAATACTTAAATTTTTGATCGTTAATTTATTTTTGCAACTAAAGTGATATTTTCTAGTTTACAAAGCTGTAAACAAGAAATAAATATTTTTGACTTTTTTGATTTTTGACTTTGAAGACATTTTGACTTTTATAGCTAAATGTCAATTTTAAATGTCAAATCAAAAGTTTAGCATTTTGAATGCAATAAATTTTAGCGAATAACGAATAAATATTTGAAAGAGAAGAAGAATATAATTTTATTTATTTTTTCGTCTAAAAATAGCAGAATAAATTTTGAATTATCAAATGCACAGAATGACAAATCAGTCTTTTATTTCCAAATTTTGAGCGAAAATAAGAAATTAAAGGGAAAATATTTAAAAATTGAATGAAAAAATGCATATGAAAGCGATTTTTGTATACTTTTCGTGGCTATATTTTTCTTTTTTATTGTTGTTTTTGTAAAGTTATTTTTTGTTTTAAAAGTTCTGAGCGTCAATTTTACTAATATTTGAATGAAATGAAATTTATTTCAGAAAAAATCTTTGTTGTATATTTTTTATATTCTTCGAGTCATTCATGATACGAATATGGATTAATTTCAAAAATTAACAAAATATGGCTTGATATTTTGAATTTTAAAATTTTTAAATGAAATTTTTGTGATATTTCAGGTATTACATATATGCTTCCATCCTTCTGAGTATTTACTAGCAGCAGGATCTGAAGATCGTTTGGTACGTTTCTGGGATATCGATAGCGAAGAATGTGTATCTCAAAGTGATCCCGCGGATAGTTCTCTTCGAGAAATTACTTTCCAGCATGATGGCTCGGCATTGATTACTCTCACTGACCGGTTTGTTTGTAAAAGTTATATTTTTTCAGAGGATTAAAGCATTTAAAATGAGAAAAAAAAATTACAAAATAAACACTTTAATAGGAATAATTTTTGAATGGTCATATTTTGAAGTTATAACCTTGGTAGTTCTAATAGACTGAGCTTATTATGCAAATAAAATTTTTTTGCATTTATCTTAATTTGTAATTTAAGGTTTTATTTGCTCAAAAATTTGATTTTACAGTAAATGCAGCGCAATTTCATGGGAACCATTTGAAATGCTTGGACAGTGCATAATACCTAAAACAGATTTCTCATTAGGCTTGGCAACGACTGATTCAGAAGTTTTTGTCCTTGGGCAGTCCGTATTATCCCGAAACTTATCGTTATTAATGCTGCCTTATGCGGTTAGTATTACTTTTAATCTAAACCAGTAATGTTGTAAGCTTATTTTATTATTATCAAAAATAAAAATTCGTAATATTTTTCTTTTAACAAATTTGAAATTTAATCTGTGAGTTATGCTGTAAAATAGATATATGAGAAGGCAAATTTTCTATTGATACCTTCAAAGATTTTACTATAGTCAGAGCTGCTTTGTGTGTTGCTTGAATGAAAGTTGTAAAGTGACTTTGTGTTGATGCAAAAATTGAACGTAAACAAGAAAATTTGTCAGTTTTTGAGCTTAATTATCACAAATAATTATTCTGCTGAAAAATTTTTTATCGAGAAATATTGACATCCTGATCAGATATGATTGATCTGCTGATCAGTCATGTGAGATCTAATCAGATTTAATCAATCACAGCCGATTTTTTATTTCAAATGTGATTTATCTTACTGATTTTATAAAAAACTAAAACTGATATGTATGGTGTAAATGTAGATAATAAAGAGTAAGAATTTAATGCTTTCAAATGTAAGGAAGAAAGTTTTTCAAAGCTGTACTATTTATAGACCAATTTACTTCCTGCTTGCATTTTGTTACCAAGCAACTACATGATGCTCGATTTTTCCTTTTTATTTGTTAATATTCCTAGCTTCATATGTGTTTGAACTTTCATTAAATAATAAAGTGTAATTTGAAAACGTATTCAGAAATATCTTCATTAGATTACTTAATAATAATCACTTTGGGTAATTTATAAAAATAATTTGCATTGTAATTGCTAACAGTAAATTCAAAAGTGTATTTTTTTGAAATCATTTTGAAAATTTGCATTTTTCTAAAGTCAGAAAAATAGTTTTTTTTTTTCGTACAATAGCAAACTTGTTAGCGTTGGAAATTATTTGAATAAACCTTAATCGTAGAGAATTTTTGAGCTTAGTTAAGGTCCAGGTATTACTATTGTTTCTATAGTGACCACCATAATGAAACATTCCACATATGTAAGAATGTTTAACTGGTCACTTTTGGTCTCTTTGATTAGTTCCTTTTACATTGCTCTTCCTTATGTATCGTAATCGCTCATCGCTGTTCTTTTTCGATATCACTAAAGTACTTCATTTCCTTACAATTTTTTTGATCACAAAATTTAATTTAATTTAAGTGGTCATTAGTATGTTGCTAAGATAAGAGAAGTGTTGTAATGAACTTATCTTTTCTGAAATTCATTTACTTTTTTTGTATAATTTTATAATACTTTTTCTAAAATTCTAGTGTGTACATTTAATTTTGGTTGTCTTTCTTACCATTCTAATACTTCAATCTTTTTTTTAATTACATAAATCTCGAAATTTGACAGTAACGTCAAGAAGAAGTAGAAAATTTTCAGAAGCTACTCACTCAAGAAGAAATATATGACGATCAAGAAATAAGAAACAGTGACGTAGAACTTAAGCTTAAGAAAGAAATCTCATCTGAGAAAATAGGTCCTGAAATTTCAAACGTAAACGAGCTGGAACAGTCGGATCAAAATGAAGTACAATCATTGAAAGATTGTTATGATGATCGTAGAGCCTTTGTCCCCACTCATACTTTACCACGTACGCCACCTGGTCGTTCTGTAAAAGTATTACCAGAAATTCAGGCAAGTTGTTGACCTCTGAACTTTCCATGTAGCTTTAATAAAATTTTCTTTTTTTGATTGCAGTAAGTAAATCTATCAATTCATTTAGTATGTTATACCGATCATATATCACTCAAATTGTGAATCAAGATTATGGAACTTTCCACGAATCTTTCGTAAAGTCTCTATATATTCGGCTGCTAAATGTCATTAAACCATCAATTCAGACAACTTATAAACAAGAACAAATTTTAAAATGTGAAATATATATAGTTTAATTATTTCGTGCATATTTGTGATTAATATTGTGAAAATTGATTCCAGACTGTATCTAATACTATGACTTCCACTAGTAGTTCAGTTTCAACGATTATTGCTAGGCCTAGAACACTTAAAACTAAGCAAGGCCCTGCGAGCACAAAGTTAGACTTTCTTATTGTTTATTTATTCATTATAATAATAACGGTACTAAAATAGCATATATTAAATAGTTTGTAAGTGATAAGAAAATAGAATTTGTGAGCACATTTCATCTTCGCAGTTATAATATTAAAAGTAATTTGCTGCTGCAAATTAGTTACGCTATTATAATACATTAAATATTTTTATGAATTTGATCAAAATTGGTACAAATTAAACTGTAAATTTTAGAATAATAGATTGATTAAGTAGTTAAGTAATCAGTTTGCATAATTATGCAAAAACATAAGTAAATATTATTCCTTTTGAGATCAAAAATTCAAATTAAAGATATACGCAATGAAATTGTAACTTAATTTACATAAACTTTCAGATTGCACTATTCCAAGTCTGGAAGTGTACGCAGAACAAACATTGCTTCATCACAAACAAATTTGCCATCTCGAAGAGGAATGAATTCAAGTGGTAAGTAACTTGATACTTTTTTTGTACTACTTCGAGTCTTATTGTTTTGAATTTTAAATTTTTACGTTTTATGATTTAACTTGTAGGATTAATCAAGGCTTTTATTAAAACATGAATTAGTTCTGCTTATTTTCAAGAGTTTGGATTTTTTTTCCCATTCAGAGCATTAAAAAGTTTGAGCAGTTAGCTTTTTTGAGCAAATATAGCTGTAAGATTAAGTAATTAAGACTACTAATCTAACGTATCTGTAAGTTAATTACTTTACTCCGTTGACTTATCAATATTACAGTATATTAAAGCTTTTACTATCAACAAAATACTCACGATCTTCTGCAAATTTTTTAAAACCTATATTGCAGGAACAACAATGAAAATTACAAATTCAGCACCAGATATTCGATTTTCCATCTCGAAAAAAAAGGTTGCTGTCTTTTCTTTCCGAATTAACTTCTTTTAAAAGAAACTTTTGCATTGTTTTATAACTTTACTTATTACTTTTAAATATGTATAATGATGTTTTCAAATTTTTTCAGGAGGAACGTAATCGTTTTAACGAAGAAAATAAACGCAATCAAATATGCAACGATCAGTCACAAGAGAGTCCTTCAAAGGAATTATGTAGTCTGAATGATACCGTTGCTGGTTTAGACAAATTTGAAATGATTATTAGTCAGCGACGAACAATGCTAGAAAATGTTTTGCATTGTTGGCGAACACGTGGTTCAGATGCAGCAATAACGGAAGCTGGGCGATCAAGTGACCCATCAGTTCTCGTAGAACTCATCGATGCCTTTAATCACATGCCCACAGCTTGGAATCTCACGTTGTGTACTACACTTCTACCGCATATTGAACCATTAATAGCAAATAAACATGAAGATTATGTAGAAGTTAGTTAGTATAACAATTTTTTTAAATTTTTATTGCTGCTTGAAATATCTCGTCTTTTTGAAAGAATAATCTATTTAATGTTTAAAATAAGACACATTTGATTTACATTGAAAATTATAAATTACATTTCAAATTGTACGCGTTGTTTTTGCGTATTTTGATTACAAATAAGAAATATGTATGAAAGGGATATGATAGGTACTAAATATCAATAAGCAAATTTGATCACTGAGTGATATGCTTTGATATAGAATTAAAGTTCGTAAGATAATAAGGATAAAATTGTGGTAATTATATTTTTTAAAAACTTTTCACTTTTCAAAGGCTTTTCATTTGCAGTTTGTTAATTTTTTGCTTCTTACTAAAATAATTAATGCTTAAATTAATGAGTGAAAAGTAATTAGGTGGCATTAAACGCACTGAGAACAATAATTACTGGCTGTGGTGATGTGATCCGTACGGGTTCTCACCGTCGTTTTCAGATTGGCGTTGATGTTCCTGCTGAAGAACGGCATGATAAATGTATCAAGTAAGTTTAAGTTAGACTTCAGAAAAGTTAGTCTTATCTACTAGGTATTTTTTAAGTTTTTTGAATGAAGACAATGTTAACTAGTAAAAATCGCTATATCAGACAAGTAAATATTAGCAAATTTGAAGGGTGAAAAGTGTTTTGAGACAAAGATATAAAATACAAACTGTTCAAGGGTTTTAGATTCGCTTTTCAAATAAGTAGCTAATTTGAAATAAGATTTAAAATACTTATTTTAATACTTATTTAGTTTATGTCAGTAACTCACGTTTTTACTTATAATAAATTTATCAAGTTTACTTAAATATTATTTGAAATAGTTTCTGGTAAATAATGGCTAAAATGAGTTTAATATATATTATGTATCATACACTTCTCAAGTCTTAATTAGAACTGTAAAATTTATCTTTAAATATTTTGCAGATGTATGCAACAACTAACTAATATTAGAGTGAAAGCAACGCTTCTAGCTGATCATATGAGTAAGTCACAATCGCGCGAATTCACTGCGCTTATGCAAATTTTTGATGATACTTTAGCAACTAGTTAGGCTGAATATATGTGATGGAAGTTTCTGTTTGTGCTAAACAGCTGTAATTTCTTGCGTTTTCTTTCAATTTTTGCTGCTCATTAAAAATTTACTTCCTTATTAAGCTCAATATTCTGTGCATGAACTTTTCTGTTAAATTTTTTTCTACTTTTGTAAATTAATTCAGGCTGAAAAATGAAGTCATATTTTTTAAAATTATATATATTTGTAATTTCTGCTGAATGAGAATAACTTTCATTCAGCAAAAGTTATAATTCTTCAATTGTTTGTAAAAAACAATTTTTGTTCTAAAAGTATAGTCTTTGCTTTTACAAAAGAATACAATTTAAAAAGCGATCAGTCTTGCTCATGAATGTATTTAGGTCTTAACGTATGAAAGAATTATCTCAAGTCTGTTTCTTTCTGTAATTCACTTTTCTTTATGACATAATTCTTATGATATTTTTTAATCTGTAATTATGCTATTAGCCTTGCTTTTATAAGTATAGCAATTATTTCTTACTTATTGAGAATTATCATATTAAGCAATACACTAAAGGGTATTTTTTATGATTATTGACTGTATTAGATTTGATAACTATTGCAGTTTGAAACTTAATCTTATTGACATTGGTATAAGTATACAGTAAAATTAAAATTTAGTGTAAATGATAAGTATTTATGTCATTAGGCAAAATAAGATGATTAAATGGGGATTAAGAGCAGTATCTTCTAGATGTAATTCTGTCTGTTTTATACATAATTCTTCAGAATCACTTTTTTTGAAGTGTTTTAGCATCAACTAGCAAGCAAAATACAGTACCACTAGCTTTTGTATTTGAGCAACTGATTTTGAGGCAAAGTTTTGTATGTATTTCTGATGCTTCATACGATACATTGTGAGTTGTGCTTAGGTAGAAAATTTATTCAAATTTTTATAGATTAATTTATATAAAGTCGAATTATGCATAAAATGTTAAATTACATATTAACTATTGATCATTTTCATAAAAGTAAGGCAAAAGTTATTAAAAATAAGACTGATTAGTATTGCTGACATTTTTATTGGTATGTATACATTACAACTTTGTATTGTTTCAAGACATTGTTTTCAAGACTCATTAAATGTAAACTTCGAATTTGTTCTATTATTCATTACATTCGTATATTTCTAAACATTTGTTGATTCATACATTTTTGTGTTGTAAGTTTTAGGTGCTGAAAAAGTCTTGAAATAAAGCATAAAATGTATGCTTGTATTCAATTATGTGCACACGTATAAAGAACGTAAAAACATCAGAATAGCTAATTTAGACTTGACTATTCCCTTCATTGCTTAATACAGTTTTAATTAACATAATAACTGTAACTTATTCATTTTATTAAGCTTTAATTTAATTAAGCTAAGTAACAAATGAAGTGTAAAAGTTAGATGCTACGTTTTATCGAGAATAATGCATTTTAAGCTAGTGGTTTTAATTCTTCTAACGTGTTTGGTGGTACTATCAAATGTAAATTAGCATAATGCAGGTGATTTTGACACTTACTTAACCATTAAAATGAATAATTAACGGACGTGAAAAGGAGTATGTGAAGGCCACCGGAAGGAAGTACGCATAAATAGTTGTTTTGTTTGAATGTGTGTATGTATGTATATGCGATAACTTTGGAACGTTACAGGAAAATAAAGAATTCTTCATTATTTTCTATAATGATATACAGTTAAATTTATGATGGTATGACTAGCGTAAATTTGAAAAAATGAACAAATTTTCATTACAATTTTGAAGACGAAAAATATAATTTAAATGGATTGATCGAAGCGCAAGTAAGTTCAATTAAAAGCATTCATGCAAAGTGAATTGCCATTTATTCCCTTGCAGGAACAATTTGCATTTATTATTCATTTTGGAATAAATAATCGTTTTGTATTTCTGCCTATTTCTATTTGTATTGTTGTAAAGTATTCTGATCATTTTCATCTCTTTTGTGCATTTTGACTTTAACTTTCATTATTAATTTTGCTTCTTTAAAAATGTATGCATAGTATAAAATAAGCAATAATTAGCAAAATAAATTGATACTTTTTTAAGCATAAAAATACAAAGCTACAAATGTACTGAACTAGCACAATAATATATCTTAGATGACACTACCAGTTTACGTGATCCATGGAAATGAGTATGATGATATTTAACTGACCTGACTTTACTTTACTTTACTGTAATTATTAGTTGTGTTATTTACTGTGACTGATCTTTTACCACTTTAAGGTCATTATTATAAGTCAATTATAAATTTATCTTTTAGCCTTCTTGAAGGTTGATCAAAATAGACCTTCTATAAGAAGAAAATACAATGTCATACATGAATAGATAAAATGTCTATGCCTCGCGTAATTAGTAGTGGCCGAGAAATGACCAGGAAGATTGTGATCTAGCACCGGGACTAATGACCTTCTAGATAGATAGCTTGACCTATTCACTATTTCTTTCCTTATCTGATTTATGATCAGTTCCATTTCTAACTTTCATTTATCGCGAGCAGTCGGCTCTTTAATGGTTTACTGTAGTATTCTTTAGTTATTTCATATTTATTGCCATCTCTAATCTAATCTCATTTACAATATGTCTTGAACATGTACACTGTAATGACAGTTTTGCTTTATTAATGCCGAAAATATACACTATTATAGAACATATAATTTTTAAAAGTTATATATTGTATTATCAGTGATTTGCACTGGAAAGTTGCAATAGTTTTTTGGGATAATTTAGAGATTAATTATGAATATATTTGGTCAGGGACTTAAAATTTGAAATGAATTTTTTTTGGTAAAAAATGAAATTTTTATTTCAGCTTTCTTTTCCCTCCAAAAAAACTGCTCAAAAATGCTCCTGTCGAAGAATTTGAATGATTTGGTTGGCAGTATACTTATGCACGTATAACTGCTTAGTTTCTCATAAAATTAAAATAAAAACTAATATTTTTAGTTTATTACAAATCGCAAAAAGAATTTGTGAGTAAAATATAGAGTAATGTTCAAATTTTTAATCTAAAACATTAATTGATATTTAAAGTACTGAATTTGCTAATAATTGAATGATTTGTTTTGCTGTTATTTTTTCATTTTATTGGCTGAAAACTATTTATTTTATTAAAAAATATTTAATTAAAAGTATTTTTTGTTAATTTTAATATTTTAAACTAATTTTTTACGTAAGTAATAATATAATATTAAAGCAATTTGTAACAATTTTTTATTTGTTCATTTTCTGCAATTATTCATCATTTTTTACACCTTTTTATTATATTTGTGGCTTTGGAACATCGAAGCTATCATCTAAATCTTTCATTCCTTCTGATTCCTTCCCACTCTATCTATGTATCATCACATGAAATACTTGATAACTATTTTGCCTTCAATATATTTTCTCTCTACAAAAGAATTAATGCATTATCAATCATTTATTCAATCATTCATTTATTCATTCATTTATTCATTCATTCATTCATTCATTCATTCATTCATTTGAAAGACATTTATTTTAAGGTTTGTTCGTTTTTCTAATCAAAATTTGCATATTTTTGCACGAAATTTTAGTTTTTATCAAACAAAGCCAAGTTGACACGTCTTTGATGCACAGCTAATTAGCACAAGAAATGTGTGGATAAAAATTTTGATAAAAATTACAGTTTAGTATTTTGAAGGAAACTTTCAATGGAAATAAATAACTTTGAGAACTTTGACTGATTGCATTGAATGTTTGATCAAATACTTACTGATCAGACCAATTAATCAACGATTTATTCTTTTAATATTTGCATTGTATACTAAGTTTCATTCAGATTCTATTCGCCAACAATGTCTGTTTTGCATCAATTGTTAATTTTTACTTTCACTGCAAAATTGTTCAACTGCGCTTTGATTTATAATCAGAGCAGTCTTCCTATTTCTGTTCTCTTTTATACTTACTGCTGCTGTTCACTATTTATTACTGTCATTGGCTATTTATAATTCTATTACTATCTTAACTGACTTTTCCGTTTTAAGCATAATTATCAATTTTATACTAAGTACGCTATTTCTACGTGAACTTGAATCTGCGCAATTTTGCCATTTTTTAATATATATCTAAGCGATTTTTTTTATTTTTTCCGATAATCACCATCATTATTATTGTTATGACTATACTTATCACTATTTTTACTTGTTATAATTATTCTCAGTGTCAATTACCATTTCCTGTGTATAAACTTTAAATAATTATAGGATACTTTGATAAATTAAGGGTTACAACCTTTGATAATAATGCCATTTAATAAGATAGATAGTGTACTTGAATACTTTCCAGACTGCAATTACAGTAAAAAATGTTTAGAAAAATTTTTAGTAGTTAAAGAAAAGAATCAGTTGGCTAACTGATATTTTGTTAATAAATTGCTCGTCCTCAAAAATTAATTTAAAACTCATAAAAATTATAAATTAATCAAAGTAATTCTAAAAATTTAAATGGACTTTCTTAATTAATTTGAATTGAAAATATTGATAACTTTGTGCAAAATATATGAAATATTTGAACGGAAATACTTTTTTTGTTAATAGATTTTTTCAAAAAATTATCACCTGTGATTATTTTGTTAGCTATTGAAGTTTCAATATTTAATATTCTTTTTTGGAATTGCTTAAGTTCATTATTGTACTTGTGATAGTAACTTCTTATCACAGAATACCTATACTTTCTTTGACTTATTACTGTATTCACTCCCTTACTTACATTTGAAGAAAATTTGTTCTGCAAGTTATTATACATTTTGTCTTGGAAGCATTCTTGCACCTTTGATAAAATTCTTATCACAAAATGATCAAATTGTATTTCTAGCGAATGTCTAATGTTTTAAATAAAGTCTATTTATTTTTGTCTTTTTTCGTATTGTTTTAATTTTTTATCCAGTTTTTTAAAAGTATTGCTTGCTGTAATTGCAACGTTATGAATTAATTAGAATTTGCGCTTATTTGCTATATAATATTCAGTTATCGCAGTTAAGATTGTATATGGTCAGAATATCATACTAAAACTGCTCTTTTTTAAATAAAATTTTTATTAGAAATTGCATATTATGCTGAACTTACAATGAGCTTAAGCCTAGTGTAGTTAGCTTAGAATAAGCTTTGCTGTTTCTGAAAGCAAGCATTAGCATCTACCATTCACAAGTATGAGAAAAAATTTTTTAATTATATTTTATAATGGCGCGAACATTATGTTAAAAGAAATCTTTTTTTTTTTGCCTAATTTGCATAAATTACTTTCCTTAAAAGTGTACTCATATCGAATGAATGACTAACTTCTTATCAATTCACTATGCTGAATTTAAAGCGACTTAATTAGTTTCACATCAATTATGTTTTGATAAAACCTTGCAGATATTTGCATTTCTAATGAAGAATAATTATTTTTCATGAATTTCTTACCAATACAGTAAGTAAATCAAATATTTCATTCAATAATTTATTAAGAAAGTTATTATTTTATTTTAAAACCTAATAAAGTTACAATACAAGCAATACTTATTATAAAATATCTAATATGCAAATTTCATTTCTGTAAGTATTCCTCACTGAATAAGTTTTAATTATATGTTACAGAAGAATATTAGAATGCAAATTTCTATAAAAGACAAAAAAAAATAGAGCAATTCAACAAAAAATTATTAAAATATGCAGTAATCATATCTCCGCATCAATGATTATCATTCAACGGGAAGAGCACAACTGAGCACAACTTGCGCATTCTTTACAGTTAGCAAATTCTATAGTCCAATTCATTACTTAGTTATATTTTGGTGTCGCAAAGTAATAATAATATGATATTTAAATTTTGCACATTTTTAAAAGTTCAAAAGAAAGAATAATATTTTTTTTGCATGTATAAATATGGCAAAAAAATGCAATTTTTCATATTAATCTCTTTTCGGCCAAAACTAAAATATTTTCTATCTCTAAGCTATGTCAATCTTCTATTGAACAAATCGAAAATATTAGTTTTTTTTATAAACTTTCATGAAATAAATGAAATTTGTGCTATTTAATGACAAGAACTGTCGTAGGAAATTAAAATTTGCATGCTTTATGACACATATTCAAGTTTAATTCCACAAAACTGATTATTCTCCTAAAATGTTTGAAATGTTAAAAATGAAATTTTGCTATAATATTAATTCTTATACTTATTTATAACTCCTACCTGTATTAATATGCTTAAGTTATGACGTAAAATAAAAGTGTTCTTATCAATATTCTGTTATTTACTTTGTTTCTTCTTCAAAAAAAGTCTAAAAGTTAATACTTTTATTTTTCAAATTAAAATTTATTTTCAAAAATACATTGCTTTATATTTTGTTTGTATTTTGCAAGCAAAAAATTGCATTTTGAAAGTTTTTCAAAGCATTCATACAAATTTTAAATTCACAAACATAATAACAAATAAAAATGCATTATCACACGCGGATTTTTTCAATTCATAAATCAGTGCAAATTGTAGTTGCATAATATTAATAGCAAATTACATTCTTAAATTATAAGTAATAGACAATAAACATTGTAATTTTGCACATATATACTAATTTAAAAGTGAAATTCTCACTACTTGTATATTAAATGTCTAATGTCTAATAATAATATAATCCAATCAATTAGCATTTTTTAATCAAATTTTAACTTTCAAATTTTTACATTTAAAAATTAATCTAAAATGCTTAAATTAGATTAATAATGCAATTATTGTGACATGATGTTATTTAAAATATTTCATATGCGCACTACCTATTATTACTGCTGATAAAAGTCTTTCCAAAAATATTTCAAAATGCAGTTGGCATAACAAAAAACGAAAAATTACCATAATTAAACTTAATTTTATAGCCATAAAATTAAACTCGTCTAATTGAGGTTTACTTTTTTTAATTTAAATTAAAATTTAAATTAATATTTCTTTTTGTATTTAAGAATATGAACTTTTAATTCGTAGAATTTTTTTAAAATCAAAATGTTAGCATAACTTTAATTTAAAAAAAATTTTGAGTGCAAAATTTTATTCATAAAGTGGATAATATGCTTAATGAGATGATACTTGTTGTTTTGAATATTTTAATCAATTCATATCAAACATCATGATTATGATAGCTTGTCAGGCAAATGCTATAAAACTAAAAAGTAAAAGTAAAAAATAGAATAATATTTAAACGATACTTTCTTCGCATTATTCTGCACCTATGACTGAGTATTACTTTTTTGGTATCACAAATGGATTCATTCGTACTGCAATACCTTTTCAACCCTTCAAGGACAGTAGTATGCATCTTCGAGTAAACTTTTTCTCGCAAGCAGAATCAGCCCTTATTTGGAGTTTATTCCTTTGTTCCATAAATAAAAATATTCAAATTACTTTTTTTTTTCATTTTTTGTATTCCATTATGGTATTAATCAAGTATTTAATATTAATCTCACCGCAAATATTAATCTCACCTCAAATCATGCACTTAATTTTTCTGTTTCTTCATTTAATTAACTAGCAAACTTTAACTTGAAATATAATATTTTAAGAATAATATTGATATTTAAGTTAATTTCCCAAGCTTTAATCTTGATTTTATCATTATCAAAAGTTTTTATTTTATTTTTATTATTTGCACATTTTATTTTAAATATTATTTAAATTAGGCAGTGGTATTTAAATTTAAGTAGCAATATTTCAAAGAATAAGGATATTACAAATTTTTGAGCAAAAATTTTAACCTTTCATTATAAAAATAACTTATGGTTGAAACACTGCTAAAAATATTCTTCTTACTTCAAAATATGATATACGCAATTAGTCACAGTGTTTTTTGCTTTTCAAATTGTTCTATAATTATTAGGTTTTCTGGTTTACTTTTGAATAACAATTTTGACCTCAAAATCTTGGAAGTTTACAAATTTTAGTACAAAAGGTTTATATGGTAGTACTAATGTTATGAATTCATTTTGAATAATTATTTTAAGATTTTTCTTCCGTCTATCAGAGAATATCCCGAAAAACCAGTGGGAGATTACTGTACTGTAACTTTCGTTGTTTTTAGTAATAATATCATTTCCGAAATTTCGTTTCAAAATTTGTTTTTTTTTTTGCTTCAAAAAAAATTAGACTGCGATGCAAATTGCCATTTTTAGTTCATTCCCATAAAGATTCACTTTGGGAAACTAAAACATTTCATATTTTTATTTTTGAATATTTCTTTATTGCTTAATTTTTTAAACTTCATTACAGCAATAAAAAAAAATAAGTTCTGAATTAAAGTAAGATCGCAGCGTGTCAAATTTTAGATCACAAAACATGCAAATTATCTTTGGATCAGTAAAATTTTCTTTATTATTCATTACTTTTCCTCTGATTAAATATTAATTTCAAATAATAATCAGTTATTAATTTAATTCATAACAAAATTTACGTACAATTTTCCGGTCCATTTTTATGCTCAAACGTTTTTTCATACTTTTTGCAGAATTTTTTGTGCATTTTACAAAATGTTTCTTTCAACTTTTCTCTGAATAAAAATACTTTGTTTTACTTTTTTTTGCTTTCAAGTCCTCAAAATACATTGTCCAATCATTCATTCAGAATTTGCTGCAATTATCTAAAACTTTTGACTGGAAAAATATGTACTAATTTTATTTGTTAGAAGGACTAGCAAATGCAGAAAATTGCAAATTTTTAGAAATTTATAAACTTGAATGAGATCTAAAGTTATTAAAAGTGTCACTTAAGCAATTAAAAAGCTCACTAAAATTAGTATTAATATTTGGTAAGCTGATAACTTACTCTAGAAAAAATAATAATTTTACATTCATTGTCAGTACTGTTCTCATTTAATCGCATTAATCATTACAAATAATAATAAGTAACAGAACTTTCTAAACTTTCAATACAATAATTATTTTAGCTAAGCTTTGTAATTTCAAATTTAATTCCAAAGAAATGGATCTGTTCATGTAATTCCTTCAAATAGCTGTTGTTGTATTTGAATTTGTTGTAGTATTACTTAAACAGTTTATAAGTTAAATATTTTTACTTGTGAGCAAATTTTAGAGCATTCTACAGCAATTTTTCAGAAAATTTTTTTGCAATTTTTCGATTATATCTGTTTTTACTTGTAGCAATAAAATTTTATCAAATTTTTCATCACTTTTTCTGATTACAAATTATTTTTTCAATAAAAATTTTTTCAGCTGCACATTTTTTTCAGCAAATGTTTCAATTTATTTTGAATTTTCCCAAACAGATAATGTTAAAGTTTGCTCAACAAAAGGTCTACTGGCATTAATACAATTACGAAAAGGAAAAAGTTTTCTTACCGATTTTAGTGTATTTAGTTTTTTGATATTTTTTGTAAAATCTATTGTAAAAGAGAAAGTTAGTGTATAAATTTGACAGTAAAACTGTAAAATAGATAAATTTTTCTATTGTATTGCAAATTAAACTTTGATATTTAAAAAAGATTTAAAAAATTCAGATGAATTTTGTTCAAAAAAAATGAATAATGCGAATTTGAATACATTTTATGAATAAAATAATCAAAATTTTAAATTAAGTTACTAGCAAAGAATTTATTACTTCTTTACTTTATATATGCGCATATTTTGTTTATTTGTTCGACCAGTGGAATTAATTAAACTCATATGGAACTCATACTGATAACTCTTTTATTTTCAAAAATTATCATGGAATCTTACTTTGATTCCTTTCTTAAGATCAATTGATCATCATAGATTAAATAATGTTATTACTAGTAAAATTTGGTAATGGTAAAAAACATCATGTTAGCCTCATTTATTGGATAACTTTGATCACTTGATCTTAAGATTATTTATGCAAAACAATTTAAAATTGAGAATAATAAAATATATAAATGAAACAAAGCAATTTAAAATTAAAAAAATAAAAGTTAAAATATACTTTTTAAATGTAATTTACACACTGAATCGGTACTGTTCCAAATAGTTAATTTTTTGTGTTAAATTCTAAAAGGTCATTGGAATGCTATTATTATCAAAAATTATTGTTAAAAGCGCATCTTAGTTACAATTCGTTATGAGCAGATATTAGAAATGATTTTGTTGCTTTTCATTTAAAATTATTAATAAAATTTAAAATGATGTTCACCATTCGTTTTTAGCTTTCCCTCCATTTTTACAATAAATAAACAACTTAGTCATAAAATTCAAAACTTTATTTTCAAAGATTAATCCAAAAAATTAAAGCTTGCCATTACAAAAAGTTGCATGTCTCTTAACTTTTCCTTTATTAACAAAGTTAAAGTTTACAAAAATTGACTTTTTCAGCTAGCATTAAGCCTCAATAATTATTTCAAGGATATCTGATCCCAAGAGATTCAGAAAAATTTAGCAAAGTATTACAGAAATAGAAGAGATTTGAAAAGCACATAAACATTGATGACAAACTGATAAAATTGATATGCATCTCTTTTTGCATCCATATTTGACTTTAAGAATTCCTATATTTCGAATTCTGAAACAAAAACCTTTCAATCAATGAAAGATTTTTTTCACGTGATTATTAGAAAGCAAGTAAATTTTTGATCTCCGAAGCAATTTGACGGAAAAATATGAAATTGTTTAAAGTGAAATTTATAAATTTGTTTTTTTTCATAATTAAAGAAATTAATTAGTTAATAACAACTAAGTATTGCTGTTATCCTCTTGGGATCAATTAGTATTCATACCAGATAATTTTGTTGAAAAATTATTGTCGTATATAAGAGTTTGATTCTAGATATATCTTAAAAAGTAGATAAATGAGTAGACGAATAGATAGATAGATAGATAGATGAATATGAACTTATATGTATTTGATTATGATCGGAAATTACAATAACCTAAAATAGAATGTTTAGTAGAAATTAGTGGAAATATTATGTGATAATTTCGATTTCCGCATAAATCTATATAATATGAATAGTATTTCAGCTGATTGTAAATTTTTGCTTATCATCTTGATATCACTGATAACAGAATATTGGTAAACATTATTACCTTTATATGACTGCATAAATAAATACTTTCAGTAAACCATTTAATATCATTTTCCTTCCGACTTTGTTTGCTTTTTTATTTAACTTTTTATTTTTGAGTGGTTTAACATTTTAATGTGCATCAATCATTTAATGAGTCAAATATTTAATTCATATTTAATCTCACATGCAAATTCACGCTAGCTAGCAATATGTGCACAAAAATATTAGAAACAATTAGGATTGTCAATACGTTTTTTGCTTTGTTAGATTTAAAAGTTATTTTTTGTGATTAAACGTCCTTTAACCTTTTTTGCATTCAATAATAAATTTTGACAATTGCAAACGATACAAAAGTACATGTAAGCAAAATTAATGCAATAATATATTGTATTGATTAGTATTTTTTTTAAGTCAGTTATTATTTTTTTAGTATTTTTTTATTAGTATTTTTAAGTCAAAAGTTTAAAGGCAAAAGGAAAAAATCTATCAAAAAATAATGCAACAAAAAATTTTATTCTCAAAAATACAAATAAAATGCTTGAAAATTTTATAAACACGAGAAGTTCTTGTGCATACTTAACAAAATTATTAATTGAATGATATCGAAAAGTTCAAAATGAACTCAAAAGAGCATTTTGATTTCAAGTTTAATTAAAAAATATGACTACAGATTTTAATAAAAAACTTTTTAAAAATTACAGATTAGATAAGTAAGTATAAATGGAGTCAATCGTAATATTTATTCAATTATTATTACTAATCAAATTTGTTTAATTTTTCTAAGAAATATTCTGAAAAATTAAGTAATTCAAAGTATATTCTTTCTTAGTAAATTATAAATCAACTAATCATTCGGCAGTGATTCAGATTTAACTTGCATGTGAATTCTTGAGCAAACTATTTTCTGAATTATTTTTAAAAGTGCTTAATCAGTAATATCGTGCATAAAACAGATTTGTGAACTCTATATCGGATATGTTAAAAGACTTATTTTGTTAAATAATGAAAGTAAACTTAATTAAACAATGAAAAGCAGTGTTTTTTGGTTTGATTACCTATGCATAGTTTGAAAGCTGAAAAGAAAATTTATACCTTTATTGAGTTAAAAATTATAAGTTTGTAAATGATAACATATTTAATAAAACAAATTTTTTAATCAAATCTGAGTTTTTATTTTAGTTTTTTTACCGAAATTATGCAAAATGAGACTAAAGGTTTGTCAAAAAAGAATCCATTAAGTTTTTCAGATTAAAATAGCTTCAATGTGATTTTTTCAGGTATAATATACTGAATATAAAAAACTAAAATGTGTAAAAATTGGAAATTATTAACTTCGTTATTATTGCTAACTATTAACTGCATTCAATGGGTGCACACGGGAAGCAGAATCGAGGATTCGAATGGATTGGCAACTTATCGAGAATGTTAGTTTATCTCTGAATTACTTTCAGAATTCACCAAAATGTGTAGCAAACTTCTGAAACTGTTGACTAAACTTAATTAGTTTAATTATTTGATAAATTCTGAATAATTACTGATTTTTCAAAAATTTAAATAAGCAAAAAATTATGTATTATTTCGGATATAATATTACTTGTGTGAGAATCAAACAGAATGTGAGTATTTTACAAAATGCGCATAAAATAATTAAAAATTTCTTGATATTACTTAAATGGTGCTTATATTTATAAAAATAAATTTAAATTTCACGACAGAGTTAAAATATTCAAAAACCATAAAAGAACTCAAAATAGTCAAAAAATAGAGATATTATTTATTGACAAGTTTTGTTTGAAAAATGGTGCAAGAGAACTGGTTCTACTCGGAAGTATTGTACTGAAATTGGAAATTACTTGAATAAAATTAAGAATTGAAAGGGTAAACATGCACAACAATTTATGCATCTAAATCATTCATTAAATTCGCTAAATGTCAAATGCCATAAAAGTTTGTGAGATTGCTTTACCTTTGATTACTTTACATTTTTTTGATTAAACTTTTAAAAAGTTTATTTCAATTTAATCTATAAAATTGCTGCTAAATAATCCTACTTTAGTGTTAAATTAGTCGCAATTTATCCTTAATTCCATGAAATCCATCCGTTATTAGAATTTATTAAAAATTTAAATTATTACTTAGTTTTTATTAAAAGTTGGATAGTAATTTTAAAAAAGTCTAATTTGAAAAAGATAATAATAAACTCTAAAATAGCATTCAAAACAATGAAAAACTTTACTTTGCATGGCGAATGATATTTTTTTCATTTGACTTGTAAATTTACAACTTTTGAATTACAGAAAATAAAAATTATGCATTTTGGATACAAAAGTAAAAATGATAAGTGCTGTAAAAATTTTTCTATTTCCATTACTATTGCAAATACTTGTGATGTGAATTTTTCTGCTTGGCAGGGGATCGAGAATCCGAAGGAGGCAGGTTTCTTTACTCTTTCACAGTTGCCCTCTGTGTGATGAGTTTTCGCTTCTGCTTTTTTAATATTCCCAAATTTTATGCAATTGTTATTGTTTATTTTTATAAGATAATTACACTTTTTGTATTTAATGCTTTTTATTTGCTTAATTTTGTCTGTGTTTTGAACATATCTGATCAAATAATACTGCAATTGTTTTATTTACTTTGTATTTCATCTGTTCATGCTATTTGAGTGCTTTTTGTGTTAAAACGCTTTTCTGCTGATAAGATAGAAAGCGTAAAAGGAGTACTCTTAGGGCAGATAACTTACGTGAGATACGTATTTCACTTTATTCTTTTTCATTTTTTGAATAACCATTCACGTTATCCCACGAAATAACAATAGTTTAATGCTCTTTTACGTCATTGACATATTTTTTTGAGACTAAAATTAAATCTTAAATTTATTTGAAATCTTTACTTCATCAATTCAATCAGTAAACATTTTTTCATCAAAAATGAAAATGGAAAAATTTTTCTCCTATGAATACTTGAATGGCGGCGATAAGTATACTTTTTGCTTTTAATTTATTTATTGTTATAGAATCATTTATTTAGAAGCAAATTAAAAAAACTTTGTCAAATAAATATATAAATAAAATTCTCAAGTTTGACAGTTGTGTATTAATTTTATACTTATTATATCCTTTATACAGTTGAAAATCGTCAACTAATTAATTATTAAATAATAAATAATTGCGGTTGCGATGCGCAAATCTTTATCTCTTTCAAATAACTTTGCACTCTAATTGGTCAGTTTTTCTTCTTAATAAGTTATTTGCATGAAAATCTAAAAGATAGAAAAATGTAACTGTACGCGTGTGATTACTTGGCCTTATCATTTTTGCTAGATATTTTTTGCATGAATTTTTGTATTTATCACAAATATTACTTAAACTTTGAAATAATTAACTAATTAATTAATCAAAAATGTAAAAAATGTTAATAGACAGTTATTCCTTTAATGTGGAAGTTTCTTGATTCTTATCATTCTCTGAGTCATCATTCCCAACAGAATCATACAACATTAGTAATACTTTATTTACACTTGTGAGAATATTTTGTTTCATTTCCATTAAATGAAACACAGAATCCATGACTGCTAGATTTGATTTCTAGTCTGAATGCTTCGAATATTTTCTCTCTATATTTTCACTGAAAGTTAAACGTATATGCAATAAACTTCACTTTACACTCAAAGTATTTTTTCTTTTTTTGCTTTAATATAAAATCGCAATCAATTTTGATCAATTTCATCAATTTTTTTGGTTGATATAAAATGTTTATTTTTCACTTTCAGTAAGTTTTTACTAGTTCAACTTTATCACTCATTCACATGATTGTAGTAATATAATTTTAAAAAGCTTAATTGGAAATAAATTATTATATTACTTCAAAATTTGCATGATTAACTCTATACTAATAATTATTCATCAGTGATAAATGGTAGTAAATAGCTTTGCATGTGCATGCCAATAAAAAATTATGCTAATCTAATAATTTTAATAAATACTCGACATTAGCTAACATATTGGCAAACATTTACTTATTTATTAGTATAGTATGGTAATTTGGCAATTTTAATATGCAAATTTGAAGTCAAAATAATTATTTTAAAATAAAATGCAAAATATAAAAACAAATACTCTTTTCTCAACTGTGCTAATAACATTCATTTATGTGATAAAAGTAAATTTGAAAGTAAAGTGGCAAAAATTTTCCAACCTTTTTGTCAGTATGAATAATTTTTAAATAATTTGCTGCTATTTTTAAACTAAATATATGCAATATAAATGTATTGTTTGACTTCACTCAGATGGATTTGAATGCAAGGATTAATTGCATTAGGCATACATTTCGATGATTGCTCTTCAGAGGTAATCTAATACAAATCGTTGCTATTTCATTCATTTAAGTAAGTCTCGATTCTCGATTTGCATTATACTGCACTCAAATAAAGTGAAACAAATAAACGCTTAAGTAATTACTAGAAAATAATGATATCAACGAAAGTCAAAAAACGGATCAAAAATTCTACAATATACCAACTACTATTACTGCTTTATTGTGTTATTACCACTTCTACTGCTGCTACTGCTACTGCTACTGCTACTGATATTATTAGCTTTACGTGACATTTTCACGTGAAATAATTTTAACTTTACGTGACTATTGTCAGCAATATTCAAATATTTCAATTGTTCACTATGAGAATTATTTTGAAACTGCTGAAGCAAATACCACTTTTTTCACTATTAATTTTTCCAAACAAAGTAACTTCCTTATTTGGTAAAACTTGGCGACGAAATTGTGATGACAGTCCTCTCACTCCATGCGGTTCATTATTCAAATTTTTGCTATAGTTTTTTGTAAAAATATTAAATTTAAATTTGCCGCTATCTTTCTTTCATTGGTTTTTGCATACTTTTGTATTACTTATTCTTTCTCTAATTTACTTCAATCTTATGACTAAACAAACAATATTTTTGTAATTATAATCGCTTCCAAATACAAAATTTTCATCTTTTCTGAAAGTAATCAGTCCTCACAATGTAATCAGTGATAAGTTTACTTTATTCTAACGAAACATCGCAAGTACTTCAAATTTGTATTCGTTCAATTTTAGAACAATCGAATCTATTTGTTATTAAATGAAGTTTTATTCACATCTTTGATTATATCTATATTTTTGAGTTTCCAATCAGACATGAAATAATTGTTTCTATTAACTTTCACTGATCGAATTTTACGTAAGTATGCTCCGTAGCACAAATTCATCCAAAATATTCTTCACTTATTTATACTACTTTTATTGCTGATAAAAGTAATTAAAAGAACATCTGCTTTTTTAGTTGTCTTTTAAATTGCTATATATACATATATATAATATTTACTTTATGTGCGTCGCAAAAAAATACAACTTTCTATTAATATATTTTTTTTAATATATTTTTTATCATGCTTTTTTCCCAATATTTTATTTGTTCATTTTTTACTTCAGTTCACATTTTTCTTCCCAACATTATGATGATCAGGCAGATTATTAAAATTAGTTTAAACTTTTTCGGTTCAAAGTTCATTTAAAGAAAAAGTATACTTTGAACCGAAAAAGTTCATTTGATCGTAGTAAAGCGACCAAATTTAAGTTAAATTAGCCCAAAACTGATCATCAAATTTAAATTGCTACAAGTATTTCATATTTTTGTTTTATAGTTTGTTCGGGAACAGATAATAGTCGATCAGAATTGCAAGATAAAAACCGAATCAGCCAATTGATCAAGCAGTATCAGAATTGTACTCGAGTATATGGAAACTTAGAAATTACTCATATCAGACATGAACATCTGAATGGATCTGATTCTGAGCAACTTTTTACTTTTTTAGATCACATACAACAGGTATTATAATAGTTTCTATAGTGATTTTTATTTTTGAGCTAAACTTTTAAAATTGTAACTTTGTGATTTGACATACTTGGAATTCTGAATGATACTCATTTGCATTCTTCATTTCAGTCAAAATTGCATTTGATAAGGTCATCAGTTGTTGAAGTTAAATTTTATTTATTACTTTTCAGCTTTTATACTTCGCTTTACTGCCCTTAAATTCTTTTATTTAGCTATCATCAAATAATTCACTTTTTGTTCAAAAATTATAGGTAACATATTTATAATGTCATTCTGACATTATTTTGTGATGAATATGGATTTCTGCCTTAATATTTATTGCAAATGTATTTTATAAAATTTACATAAATGAAACTTACGAGACTTTAATTTTTGGCACGTGGCGTAAAATGTAAAATATAATTACTGGAAGCAAAATTATTGGACTACAGTAAGCTAAGTTTCAGATCACAGGTTACTTATTGATTTACGGAAATGATTTTGATCGGATTACCTTACGAAATTTGGAAATAATTTGGGGAGATACAAAGCATGATAACAAAGCTGCAATACATATAAGTAACAACAATAATCTCAAATATGTCAACATGCCAAAATTACGAAGTACCTTTACTTTGGTTCCGGTTTCTTTAATAAAATTATTTTCATGACGATAATAATTACATAATATAGAGTTAGCAAGGTCAAGTTTTGATGGCTTCAGAAAATTTAAATCCCATCTGTTGGTTATTATTAATTGCAATTGCAAATCAAATAAAAATAGCATCTATAAAATGTTTATATATTTTTAAAATAATATCACTTAATTATATCTAATTTTTTAGGTGTTGAACGTGGTGATGTGGTGCTTATGTATAATCCATATCTCTGTAATTGGAATACTACTGTATCCTATAGTGAAGTGCGTATATTAATTGAACTTCTTTTTTAGCAAAAATATGAATCAATTAAAGATCAATGATTTATTATGAAGAATGTGCAAGATTGATAATTATAATATTTAGATTCTCGGTGAAAGCAGTAATTCACGAGTGAGATTCATTGGTAACTTCGAAAAATGCAGCTTGAATGAATCAAAGTGTGCACAAAAATGTGGCGATCACTGTTGGGGACCAGAAAAAGATATGTGTCAAATAGGTTTCTTATCAGTAAAATTGATATTCATATCAAATAAATCAAATTAAATAAGATCTGAAAATAAATAAATATGTGAACAATTAGTAAAAACTAAAAAGTAATTGAAAAAACTAAACGATGAAAATATGGAAAAATGTAGCAATTTTAGTATTTATTTTAAAATATAAAAATATTGAAAATCATCTGAAAGAGATGGAAAAAGAAGTCAAAACATATTAAAATTAAACAAAACACAAAAGTATCTTTTAAACGATAAGCGTAGCATTTCAAAAGTGTTTGCGATATTAAATCTTAAACAGAAAATTAAAAATTAGTTTAGACATTCCAAAAACTAAAAAATGAAACCAAATTAAATAACATTTGAAGCAAAGAATGATCAAAATATTAAATCTCAGCCAGACTGATCGCTAGCTATTTTTGAATCCAAATTGTAGTCTATCGAGGAATATGTCCCAAAACTTGCTCATCACAAATGTGCTATCGGTCTGCTGATAACGAAACTCACTGCTGTGATGATGCTTGTGCTGCTGGTTGTTTTGGTGAAGGCAAAAGTTCCTGCATTGTTCGTTATTACATATTTGCTTAGCTTAAATGATCATCCAAATGATCACTTTTGTATAACTGCTGTAATATTTAATAATAATAATAATAATAATAATAATATTGATAATAATTTTAATAATTATTATACAATAATAATGATATTGATATTAATGAGAATATTTAGAATTAAAACAAAAATGATAGTATTCAAAAAAATTACGGTAGCAATAATTACAAAATTACTGGAATTTTGGCGATATAAACAAAAAGTCTTAAAAATGGCCAATAATTTTGAATATTTTATTAGTAGCCTGAAATTTACAAGTATATCATACTTTTGTTTTTTTTTTCAAGTTAACAAACAAATGCCACTGAAGAAATTTTAAACATTAAAGTGTTGAAAAAGTATTAGAATGCATTTATTTAGGCCTGTGCCAAGCTAGAGCAAGACTCGAAATGTGTAGACAAATGTAATGGTTTGACCGACTATGATAGAACGTTAAAAATGACTGTAAACCATTCAAATCCACGATATACTTATGACCGGTATTGTGTAGAGCGATGTCCAGGTATATATTATTCAATATTGAAAGTACTGTTCAGCAAATCAAAATGTATTACTAACACTAAATTCACATTGACAGAGTAAAATTTCGAAAAAGTCATTATTGTACTTTGAAAAATGAGAAATTTAAATTTCTTATTGCGCATTAAAGGAATAAATTCCACTTTAAAACATTGTTAGTGATGTAAAATATATTAAATAATATTAAAATAATATGAAAAATAATGCGTAAAGGAAATATCTGAAAAAGTGAATTCTGAACGCAATGGTTTGAATACTTCAAGAAGGAATGATTTCAGATGAAACGCTCATTCAAGGAGAGCACTGCGTAGTGCATTGTACAGAAGGTTATTGGCATGATCCTGATAAAAACAATCGTATTTGCGAAAAATGTATCAATGGGATATGCCCAAAAAGTCATCCAATACCTTTTCTACTTAGAAAATGCTAAAATTCAGTCTAATGTTTGAAGTTTTGCATTTTTAGCTCTAATCTCGACAAGTTTATAGACTTTTAAGAGCGAATGTTTGCAAATTTATCAATTAAAATGTAACATTTGTTTATTAATAACTGTATTTACATTTTAAAAATTATAAAATTTAATATATATATGTTCCCGCCAATTCATTTGAGTTAAAACTCAAATCGAAATATTCTTTAATTGTATAGAATTCATATTTTATAGTTTTGATTTGCAACTTTTATATTGTTTGTTCAAAAAGCAATAAAAGTAATTTGTTGTTTTTTGAAAATTAATTAAAACATTAGGTGAGAGATTAATTTGAAAATATTTACTATTATTACTTTGATTCAAATAAGATTTAAATAAAATTAGGAGAGTTATAAAATTACTTTTTTTTAGTTGAAAATTAATGAATTTAATTAATTAGACTTTTAAAGTGATTAGTAAATTGTGCATAACAATTTAGATCGTTTAAAAAGAAAAGCAAACAAGCAAAAAATAATTATTATTTATGAATTATTGTTAAGGTAACAAAAATATATTTTTCAGCATGTTATCTAAATGAACCAATTGATTCGAGTAATATTGGAAGCTTAGAAAATTGCACTCTCATTGAAGGTTTTATTTTGATTCTTCGGCATCCATTCGAGGATCATCGAAAATTTTTCTCTGATGGGTAAATACTTATTTGCATTAGAACAAATTAGACTAATTATATTAAAGCATAATTAAATTTGTTCAGTTATATACGAAATAGCAAAAGTTAAAAGTATTAGAATTAATATTTTTTGTGATAGATAATTTTGCTTGCTGAATATATTTCAGTAATACAGTTTAAACGATAATTTAGAAACTGGATAAAATATATAAACCCTTTAAATAACTTCTATTAATTTAATTTCAAGAACATATTTTTCTCGTAATTAAGTTATTTTTTGTAATCATTTTAGGAGTGCTCCAATCAACATACCAGCACTAACAACACAAATGCTTCAAGCCTTAAGTAAAGTAAAAATTGTTACCGAATATGTAGAAGTTCAAGCAGCTGAATTCTCGCCACGGTCGTTAAGTTTCTTAGCAAGTTTGACAACTATTGAAGGACGAAAACTTTCGTATGTTAATTTTTGCTCTATTAAATTACTAATTAAGCTTTTCTAATTGCCCAATGAACTGTATTAAAAATGTTGTTTTAAACCAATTTTTTAAAAGTGTTTACAATTTTTGATCTATTTTACTACCATTCCTGATAACATTATTATTATTTATTGCTAATAATGCACCAATAATAATTTTGACTGCCTAAAACTTATCTATTTCACTATAAATTATAAGTGATTTTATACTTAATTGGCAAAATTAAATTTTAGTGATCATTATGCATTATCAGTGACTAGCAACTTAAATTTACGAGAACTTGGTTTACGTTCTTTACGTAAGATAAGCAATGGACGTGTTTACATTGGAAGCAATCCTGTACTTTGTTACGTAGATACTATGGAACAATACTGGAAGGAAATTATACAAATGAATACAACGAGTGGTCCACTGGCAAAAATTACTGGAAATCGTGATCGTTCCTTATGTGGTACGTATTTATCGCTCTAATTATTAAATAATTATCATGACTATTTATATGATTATATTTTCAATATTTTCTCATTCATAAAAATAAATATCGGATTGAAAGATTGGTTGCAGAAATGTTAAAACAAGTTTGTGATAAAGCTTGTAATGAAACATATGGTTGCTGGGGAATGGGACCAGAAATGTGCGTGAAATGCGCTGGTTATGATATGGGTGACAAATGTTCCACTTCTTGTCCATCTGAAGGGTTAAGAGTCACTCTTGTTTACTTTTTATTATGCATACTTGAAGTTTAATAAATAATTTAAGGTTCATATAAAGCTAAACTATTGGATCTAAATTTTATTAAAAAAAATTAATACTATGGAAATATTTTAAGTTTAAAATGGATTATACAAATTCAAAAAGAATTAAAACTTAAAAATATCTTAAGGTATTATGTGGAGGGAAACAAATGCCAAAAATGTCATCCTCAGTGTAAAACTTGCAATGGGTCAGGTCCACTGAACTGCTTGGAATGTGTAAATGTTCGGATCCAACAAGGTGAAGGATGGGAATGTTTGGCCGAATGTCCGAAGACTCATTACACTGAAGGAAATGTTTGCTGGCCCTGTAGTGCTGCTTGTTATGATTTTGGGTTAGAATTTGTAATCTATTAAAAAAACAACTTTGCTCTCCATGTCAAAATTCAGTTATAAAATAAAACTATAAAAGTTCGCGTCAAATTTTTGAAAAAGTCACGCAAGTGTCTAATTGATAACAAAAGTATGACAATACTTCAGATGCACAGGTCCTAATGAATTTCTCGGTTTGGGTGGATGCAATAAATGCCGTTATGCTAGACGTTCTTATGATAGCGGTGATCAGACGTTACTTTGCTTATACGCTTTGGGTAAAGCCAAAGACGTTTGCCGAGATAATAATTTGACTCGATACTTTGCTGCTGCCACGTTTAATGAAGCATTTGTGGCTGAATTTGTAAGTATAATTTTTTATCTTAACAAAAAAAACTTAGCAAATAAGAGGAAAAATATTTTTTTGACTTTCGCAAAATATTCAGAAATAAAATGACCACTGTAAAGGTCAATAATAACTAAAATATAGCATTTGCTTGCAATTATACTACCGATACGTAACGAAATTCGAAGAACGTTTGTGAAAGTGAGCTCTTCAAACCTTTATAAAGTCTCGTTTGGTTTCATGAAAAGTTAAGAAAATATATTCATTACTTTTTAATAACTTCTGATTAATCTTTAACCTTTTTTCATTGTTGTATTATTGAGTTTACCTAATTTTTGATAACTTTAAAGATTTTGTGGATAAATTTTAGGAATGTCATCAGTGTAGCGATGAATGCCTGAACTGTTCTGGTTATGGTACCTCTGTGTACCGCCATAAATGTCAATGTGCACATTATCTAACTAAAACAGTATCTGGCAATGAGTACTGTACAATGAAATGCGAAGAGTAATTTTTATTGTACATTTTTACAAATTGCCCAAATAAAGTTACCTTAAAATCAAGCTTGTCTTGTATATTTCTAACCTAGAAGCTGATTAATTAATGAGCGATATTTGCATCAAATCGTCATAAATTGTTCAGAAAAAAGAGTCATACAAAAGAAGTAACTTAATTAATTAATTAATTAATATGACATGTTTATATATAAATGCTTAATTAGAGTTAACTTTTTTTGCTGATGTAAATGTCTTGCAATTTTATTACAGTACTATTTACCTAACGAATAACTAATAATGAAGTTTGCTTACAGAGATTCATTTATGATTCGACCTAAATCAGCTGATGATATTGGTGAATGTGAACGATGCAATGAGCTATGTGATATGTCAGCAGGATGCACTGGGAGTTCTTCTAAAAACTGCTCTCGATGCGCGAAAGCTGGAGTTCTATTTGGAGATCAGCTGGTATATGCATACTTCTCGTAAACATTATTTACTGATATTTAATATTTTTGAAAATTGCACCTTTTTAATTCCTTTTATTTAATATGCTTATTTTCAATGTTCTTAGTTTCTTCTCTTTTTATAGGTCTGTTATGAGCAGTGTCCACCCGAAAGTCCATTTATATCAAGTGATAAGATATGTTATACTTCTGATCCAGCAATTTACGCTGCCAAAAGGTTGCTTAATTATTAATTACTATCATTATATTAGTGTATTTATGGATATACCTCAGTATTTAGTAAACTCAGTTCTAAAAATACCATTGCATTGTTATGAAAAGTTACGATATTATTATTGTTTACTTTTAATTGTTATAATTAGAAAAATTATCTTCTGTTAATGAATTTGTGAATTATTTCTAAGGTTTCTACGTCAGTCAACACTGATTAGAATTAATGACAAATGATTTAAATGATATGAATTCATACTTATTGTAGACTGAATACATAAATTATAGATATTCATGATGTGTTCTGACATAAATTTTTTCTGTGAAATTTAATTACAGGAAAATGTTTATTACCGTAATTATTATATTATGTGGAATTGTTTTCATTTCCACTTTGGCGGTATGTTGCAATTTTCAAGATTCAAATTTAGATCAAATTAAGATTTATATATTGCTGAAATCAATAAATGATTGATCAAATGAGTTATTAATATTGTTGAAGGAATTATTTTAAATTTGAAATCAATAAAACTTAGTTATTTGTTTGTTTGCTTACTTTGAAATTTAATGATATCTCACAGACTTCTTCTTCATTTAAGTGTGTTTAACTTTGTAAAATTTTCTTTTCTATTTTGAATAAAATAAGCATTTAATGCAAACTAACGATCCTTTTTTGCTTGTCAAAAAATTTAATTCCTTAAAAAAGCGCACTTCTTGAATAAGTAAAAAGTTCAATAATTTTGTGTAATAATTTTATTTTATGCAAATAAATGCAAAAAAATTAGTGCATAAATATGAAGTACTTTGCCACTTACTTACGTGAGAGATAAATTTTTGATGCAATTTTTCATCTCATAAATTTGAAATTTATTCGGAATCAAGGAAAGTTGAAAATTAGTATTTCTTTGCAATACATAAATTACTGAATCGTATAAGTCAAAAGTAATTCAGAACACAAATGGATCCATTTTAGAGCATCACAGTAAATTGTATTAAGTACAAGAAAAGATATAAAAAAGAATTAGAGATGAATTTACCAACAATTCCTGAATGTGAGCCTATGGACCCTACAGCTAAGCCTAATATGACTCGACTTTGCATTATTACTATGGAAAATCTCGAAAAAACACAACAATCCCTTGGACAAGGCGCTTTTGGAACTGTTTATTTGGTATGCTTCTTTTCCGCCCTTTTTGCTTGATTTATATGCTACGCTAATATAATTTTAATATTTATTCGCAATCACAAATATTTTTGCTAAGTAAATTCTTAATAAAGTTTACATATATATAAGTTTGATATGCAGAAAAAATTCGTAAGACGAAAAGCTTTATTATTTTAATTATTTTAGAAAAATGTTTAAATAAACTTTCACTTTTGTACAAATAATTTTATGCTACGATTATTTGCATAACAATTTAAGCTAATAATACAATTACATGCTTATAAGTGTTTTGTATCGAAATATGAGCAGTAACCTTCTGACTTGAAGGATAAGTGTGCACTTAAGAATAAAATCAGAAATGGAAGCAACAAATGCAAAAAATGAGATGACACATTGTGCTTGAAAAAGGTTTTTTAGGGTTACTGGTGGCCAAAAGGTCGAGAAGAAGGTGAAAGGTTAGCAGTTGCAATCAAGGTAGTTCACGATGGCAGTGGCACAGCACAACAAGAGATGCTTCAGGAAGCAGGCATAATGGCTTCCATGCGACACGAACATTTGCTGCGACTTGTTGGTGTATGTCTTAGTGAAGGCATGCATATTGTGACCCCGATGAGACCCCTGGGAAGTCTCAAGAATTATCTCAAAAAACATGGCCAGAAACTTGGATCTAGAGACCTTCTACTATACTGTTATCAGATTTCATCGGTACAAACTTTTGATTTTGCATTGTTATCACTTTATCAGTTTTATAACATAGATGACAACAGAGTTTGTTTCGTTCATGATGATTGATTGACATCATTCAAAATTGATTTCTGAAACCAAAAAACCCTTGAATCTAGATTGATGCAGTACATCAATAAGAGTAATAATAGTTATAATGATTAAAAAAACCAGCAACAATGATAAGATTAAAAAATACTATATTGGTATTAATAATTTACTCAAAAAATAATAATAATAATAATAATAATAACTTACCAAAATTTGAACTGAAAGTTTGTTTGAGATGTGAAATATCCTCAATTTTGTTGATAATGAGAACAAGTATTTTTTTGTTTTGGTTAGGAAAAAATTACTAATACTGGTTAAGGCGATGGAATATCTTTACAAAAACCGCTTGGTGCATCGAGATTTAGCCGCTCGAAATGTATTGGTAAAACGAACTAATCACGTTGAAGTTACTGATTTTGGGCTTGCAAAATTGCTAGAAAAAGGCAAAAGTGAAGTAATTGTTTGCGGAAAGGTTATCAAATTTTTATATGCAATTATTAATTAGAAATTACAAAGTTATTATTACGCATATTTGATTCACTGATTATTTTGTTGAAGACTTGATAAATTAAAAAATAAACAAAGTTTCAAAATTAAGTCATTTTAAATTTTAGTTAAAACTATTGCGTTTCACTTAAAAGAGTAATTGTTATAGCACATTTCATATTTATTATTAATTAATAATAATAGCTTTTCAGGTAGCTGTAAAATGGTTAGCACTGGAAAGTTTAGAAAAGCAAATTTATACTCATTACACGGATGTTTGGGCATTTGGGGTTACTTGCTGGGAAATTCTAACATTTGGCCAAACACCCTATCAAAGTATACCACCCGATCGTGTTAAACAACATTTGATTAATGGAAATCGTTTAGAACAACCAAATAATTGTGCTCAAGAACTGTACCAAACACTTTTACAATGTAAGTCATATATTACTTTAATAATAGTTAATTCATATTGAGGTATTTTTGAAAATTTAGCAAATTTTCAGTACATTTTATTGTTTTTATGCACAAATAGTGCATACTTTATGAAAGTATGCATTGAAGTTTGAACAATAATAACTATGTTTATTTCTTGAGATTATTTGATTAGTAAAAAATTAATTAATTGCAAAAAAGAAAAGAAATGAACTAAAATATTGAAAACATTTTTGGTAAATACGTGAAAGTTTTAATCTCATGTAGAGCATGTATTGTTGAGGTTGGTTGCAAAATCCAGAATCAAGACCAAGCTTTGTAATCCTCAAGGAGGAGTTCAATCAGTACTGTAAAGCACCTCATCTCTATGTTTTGGTTTGTTGCAAAAAAGAATCATTTCACTGAATTAGTAATAAATTCTAAAAATTAGACAGTTAAAAATGTGTTACTTTTTTATTGATCAATTTAGCAATGAGAAAGCATTTTAAATATGAAATTATGACCAAGCTAGTTTATCATTTTTGTTCAAAAAAGTAGTTGTTTTGAAATTAAAATTGAAATTTGAAGTAATTAAAAAGTTTTTAGGATCGCTATCATAAGCAACAGCTTCAATCAGTATCACATGGCGATCATCATGAATTAATTAATGAACTGATGGATGAAAATGATCTGCCTGATCAGATTAAAACTTCTGAAAATACTCAAGCGACGACATCTACTTTATTACCTCCATCTCCAACGACACCTTCTTGGGTAACATTCCAGCAGGTAATAAGTGAAATCGATAGTAAATTCTTGGTTGAGAAGTTTAAAAATGCTCTGGTTGATAATTTAAAAAAAAAAAGATAACAAGGTGGTACAGACTAAAAATAAATAAGACTTTAACAATTTAAATTGAATTACAGTCAAAGTTAATGTGACTGAAGTGCATTCCAAGAAATCTGTCTGATTTCAAACATTATTTAAGACTTATTTTAATGATATAAAGATTAACTTTAATAAAGTAATACTCAGAATAGTGAACTTTTCAATTTTGATTTTGAATAGAATGGCGAATGGAATGCATACTCTAAGTCAATACTTGAACTTATCTGCATTGTTCAAGCAGAAATGTTTTTAAATGAGATTCGTCAAAATTTGCATAACTTGATATGCAGAGTGCTGCTAGTATTCAAGAAGATCAGCAAGTAAGAGGCTTTGATTCTGCACGTTATCAAAGTGATCCTGTGTGTGAGGGACGTACACAGCTAGGAATGGATGAAGGCAATTATTTAGTACCAAATAATAGACAATCTATTTTATACACTCCTATTATTGTACGTGAAAATGGCGAGACAGGTAAGCTTTTTATCATTTTTAATTTTTAGTAGTCTGAATACGTCACAATATACTGTTAACTTTTTACATAGAAGATATCGAATCTAACTTTATACAATTTACTTTACTCCACAATCTTACATATGGATGAAAGTCATAAAGTGTAAAATTTAATTGGAAGGAAAAATATTGATTATAATTTAGAACTGATGAAAATCTCGGGGTATTATAACGAAAAAATTGCTGGCGATTATTATAATCAATTAAAAACACTTCCAGAAGAATCAGATGAGTCTCCCTCTCAAGAAAGTAGGATAAAACCCTCAAAATTTAACACATATCAAAACGATTATTATTTTGCAGAAAATGAAACTGCTTTATGATAATATTTTCTGGGAATTATTGATTTATAATAATTATATAGAGCTAATTTATCTTCATTTTTATTGATGTGAATAATTCTAGGAATTATTGACTTATAACAATTATACAGGTAATTTATCCTTATTTTTTGTGTAAATAATAAAATGAACACGTCAAATAAAACTGTAATCGTTGATTCTCGGCAGCATTTTGTAGTACATATTGTTGTTGAATTGTTATAATTAACTGTTCTTATGATTGAAGCATTTTTCGCTGCTTAAGTGTAAAAAGTGTATGAATTTAATACGTGTAATATTTATGGAAATTTGAAAACGCGCGAAATTTGTTGTTATTTCTCGACACAACTCTGAACTGTATTAATTGACTGTGTTAATTGTTACAAACTACACAGTATACATATTTTACCTGTCAATTACTTATTGCAAAATAAAAAGTTCATATCCTAAAAGTAAATTATTGATTATTAGGCTTAGATTTGCTTAACTTTAGTATTTTTTCCATTTCTAGTCATAAATCTTTTATTTGAAAAATTTGTTATAAGCTAAAGATGTTTCTTTTTTAACATTTTAACTACATAATTTGTAAAATTTGTTTTTATTAAAAACCAAATTATGCTGTGAAGTTATATTATGCTTCGGAGCTTCTCAATGTTATCGTTTTTTGTACTAAGAAAAAGTTCGTTGTGCTCGAAAATGTGATTATTACTTGAAAATCAAAAATATTATGGCTTTAAAATAATTTTATAATTTAAACAACTGAATGGTACTAACAAAAATGAATTAATTTCTCAAAAATAGTGCAATATATGATCATTTGATTTAATTTTCTTTGACTCATTTCTGCAAAAATTTATGCAAATTTTGCTTATTTCGATAATTTTTAATATTTTTGATAATATTAAAAATTGTCAAAATTGGCGGCATTTTCAATTAATTTCGAAATTTACAATACTTGTTGATATATTCAGAATAATCCTATTGTATAACTAGACAAACAAACAAATCATGCAGCTAATTTTCAGTGGATGAAAGACTGTACTATTGTTTCAGAACATTTCTGTATTCAATAAACTAGTTACTGATCTGCAGCATACCAAATTTTTATTATTCACTTAGTTAAGCATAATTTGGTTATTTCGCTAGTTTTCCATGAAAATTCAAACGGTCTTACAGTGAGAAATATATCAAGCAATATAGATGTATATTAAAAACTAGTAATTTTAGTTATATTTTTCGCATATTCTCAAAATTTTGCTGTAATTCAATAAATAAATAAAATAAGTAAAAGTTAATTCAACAAGTATTTAAGGTTTTCTGTGATTAAATCAAAGCAATGAATGATTACTTCACCTTTTGTGAATTTATTATTGAGAACTAAAATAATTATTTGTAATTAGACAAAAATCGGTGCATTTCGCAGCTTTATCTGAAATCAAAATTGGACTGTAATCACAGCAAATGTTATCTATAAAGGCGTAACTGTTATCAAATCAGTGATCAAACACATCAGATAAAAGCTTTGCTTTGAGAATTTTCTAACATAATATTAGCAAAACATTGATAATTCATAAAAATTGATTGTTCTATGAATGAAAACAGCCATAATTTGTCAAACATTGAATTTTTAATTTTTTGATGAAAATTCAATAAATTGCTGAAATTTCTCCAGAAGGCTCAAGCTTGCTAGCAATAACACATTATTGAAAACCTGAACTAACTAGAAATTAAATATTCCACGATTATCAGTACTGGTCTAAAAGCTTTACAACTGTGCTTTGTGCCATTTATCCAAGCAATGTGATGAATTGCTATGAATAAGAATTTGAAGGCTGCAATATGAATCCAAATGATTCTTGCATACATAATTAATTTTAGTTAAAAATCAAACAAATTGTACCTAATAATTTACTGATCAGATCAATACATTGTGAAGAAAACATTTCTTCTAATTTAAATTCTTGAAGAATTCATAGTAAATGAGCTAGAAATTAAAGTACCTAGTGCTAGAAGTTATAAAAGGATCTGCAAACTAAGTGAAAAATTTTAAGATGAGATGAACGAGTTGAAAGGTCAATTTATTGAAAGCAAAAATATGCGAACTGAAAAGATTAGAGAACTTTTTATTCTTTAAGATAAGATTTCAGATGAAAAATTTGACTAATTTTGTTTTTGTTCCTTTCAACTATGAACTTTTAGCAATAGAAATTGTAAATGAATTTGAACAAGCGCTTAATCTGATATGTTAATTTTTTTATTCGGTACAAAAATAATGAAATGTAAAATGTAAAAAGAATATAAAATCACTAAAAGTAAACGATTTAAGTAAGCAATTTTTTTAATTCAATTTTTCGAATTTCAAACAAGTAAAGTAGTATTCTTCTTCTAATCAGTATAAATTTTGAGCAAAAAACTATTCAAAAGCAATATGTCAGTAAAATTTGACTATAAATTTGCATAATATAATCACAAATTTGAATATGAAATCAGTAATTAAATTGAAAGGTATGCATAAATTTGAGCGATTTTAATCACATTTTTAACTTTGCCATTTCTTGCCTTAAAGTTTCATTTTCTTGCAAAGCTTTTTCATATTCTATTCTTAAATTCGTTGCTTCATGCGCTTTTTCTTCTGTATCAGCCAGTTGCTTCTGTAATTCCCATTGTCTTAATAATACTTTTTCCATTTTATCTGCAAATAAATCTATTAATTACTAAAATCATACGAAAAAGAATGAAAATTACTTTGTAATTGTGTACAGAAATTATTCATTTTTGTACATAAATTATAATTGTTTATAAGTAAATGACAGCTATTTATGCGTAAAATTGATCTATAAACACTTCAGTCAATTACAAATCAGAATATCATTAAAAATGATTTATTTTAAAAAATATTTCTAATATTGAAAATAATAACCTTTGTAGTCTTGAAGGTTTTTTTCTATCGACTGTATGATTTCTTTAATCTCTTTGATACGTTCATCTTCCATCTTGCAGCACAGATTTGCAAATCAGTTGCTTTTTGCCATTAGCTAAATTGCTAGCAATAAGTTTAAAAATTGAAAACAGTTAATGCGCAAGTTTAAAATTCAAAAATATTAATTAATACAAAGTATGAAGAATGAAAACATTAGGTTAGCCAGACAACTGTCATTATTATATTATTATTACTATTATTATTATTATTATTTTACTATTATTATTGTCATTGCTATTATTATTGCATTTCATTTGAAAAAATTACCACTTAAAGTTAATTATTTTTAAATTGAATAATTGAATTTCTAAAATACTGCAAAAACAGATAAATTATATTTGATATGAATTTATTCATAACATCTAATTAACTTTGAGTATTTAAAGTAAAGTATTGAACTAATTATTGTATATGAATGACACCTGAATTAATGATGCACATTAATGAGTCTATTTACTTCAAAAATCTAATGTTGACTTTAATGAATTTTTATAATAATATCTTCTAATCAAACAATCAATCAATTTTCATGATCATTAACTGATTTATTTTAAAGATATGATTATTAATTAACTGTAATTAAGTAAACAAGACGCAAAAAGTAAAAATTTCAATTTTTGGACAGACAAAATATTATTATATACCCAAAATGTATCAGAGACAGTTCCACACAAATGTAGAAGAATTGCTAGGAAAGACTGATTGCAATATCATTTGTAACGAAAATGCTGAAATTGATTTACACGAATGAATGCAAGTCGATAATGATCTTCACTATAATATAAAGACTTGTATACATTTTCCAGTTTGCTCTCGCAGGCATTTCAAAAGAAATATTCGGAAATTTGAATAATAATTTTAATAAATGAAAAAATTAAATCGAAATTTAAGGCCTAAAATTTCATTTTCATCCAAGTTTTAGCGATAAATAAGAATATTAAAGATTATGTTAAATTAATCTCTCAGAAAATTTAATCGAAAGTTAATATGTAAATTAAAATGTATTCAAATTTCGATCTCTCAGAAAATTTGAATACATTTTAATTTACATATTAACGAATATCAATTTTCGATTATTTCGGAAATTTGATGAATAGTCATTTTAAATTTATTGAGGGTTTTCAGCTATCTCATGTATTTGAATTCCAATTGTATAATTATTTTCACATAGATATTATTATATCTTTTCTACTATTTGAATATTATTATAGATATATTAAACATTATTACGCTGAGATATATTCTTTACTATTTAGCATGACGTAATAATTTTTTTGCATTTACCGTTTGCAAATATTCAATAATAACTGTAATATTTCTGAAAATAATTATTCAATAATAAGTAAAACTAATCTTTACGGTACTATTATGAATTGGAAGTTAAAATAGGAATAAGGCATGCATCGAAAATGCAACTAATTTTTTTGGCCTATTAAAATTATCGTAAAGCGCACAAATTTATAAGCATAAATCTAGGGAAACAATCGCAAATCCTTAGAGGAAAGCTGCTTTAGAATTAAGTTTTTAAGCAATCAAACTAGATTTCATTTTTAGTGTTCTTTTCCTTCGCATTTAGCATGCATACACTTTTCAAGGCAGAAATTAAAAGTTTGATTAATAACTACAAGTGTAAAAGTCAGTTCCATGCATTTAAAGCTTTAATAATATTTTCAAAAATAACTTCAAGTAAATTTGATAATAACTTAAATTAATTAGTTGAAACTACGAATTGTCACTGAAAACTTGGCATAGTCCATTTCTACCATTCAACTGACCATAATGTTTTAATATTTATAAGATATGCGTTTGAAATTTAGACTAAAATATTCGCTATCTGATTTTAGAAAGTTTCTAACTAAATTTACGCAAAGATAGTGATAAGGAGGCTCAAAGTATTTCGGTATTATCAGGCCTAAAATTATGAGAACACTATTAATAATAAAAACGATGCAATATTTGAGGCTTGAAATCAATGCCTTTCTTGCGCTTTCCACGCCTAAAATAGCGAAAAAGTTGTTGACATTTAACGTCAAAGTGAAGACAACAATATTTGATGCAAAATGTAAGAAGCAGAAATTTTCTGATGTATTATCGAAGAAAGATTCTTAAAAAGCGAAAAAAATAAACGATCACTGACAAATTTGGCATTGCAATTATATGCAATAACATTTTTGCGTATTATATTTGCGCAAATAGCAAAAGAGACATTTGAAGTTTACGCGAAACAAAATATTTGTTGATGTAAACAGTTTGAATCTCTTAGGCCCACACTCGAAAGTAAAAGTAAACAAATATACATGAATAATATTACAAACGTGTGCTATTATATATACATTTATATACGTGTTCCCACAAGTACACATACATACACACACACACATACATGTGCATAGATCTACAAGATAATATTTTTCAGAGACAGCATTTCTGATAAATTAAATTAAAAATGATAAAATTTGATGGAAGAAAAATAGCAAAAAATGTTTTAATTTTACAAAATTTTATTTAGCAAAAAAAGAATAAAAATATAGTAACAGTAATGATAAAGTCACGAAAGTAAATGAACATACATGTGTAAAGTTTTCAAATTTTTACTACATAACAACCAAAGATCACAATTTATATATCTTTAATTGAACTTAAACCACGTAAGAAAACGTGATGAGATAAGTAAAATAGCAATGAATCATTCTGAGACTATGCATAGATAATAAGTATTGCGAATAAATAAATGAATAAATAAGTGAGCACATAAGATTGACGTCGTACGAAAAGAAAATTGCAAATAACCCTTCGAGCAAAATTTTGTAGAACAACCTTGAAACATATTTGCTGAATATTTTTTAGAAAAGCAAATTGCAACATGTCATTATTTGATTTAATTCATACAGTTATCATATTAATTACAATTCTAGAACTGTATCATTAACTATTACTTAACAGTCTCAGTGCTGGTCACTAAATATAGTATGAAATTGATAATTATTGTATTATGTTAATTAATGCTATTTCAGTACTGTATTTATTTTTGTTTCAGCACTTTAGTAATAAAAAATAGTGATTAAATATTAGAAGAAACTGTTTGCAATAATTTATTCACAAAAATGATTGGTTGTCGTATTGTTAATTAAAAAAAATCTAAGCTACAAAAGTTTAAATTACAGTTACAATTACAATTGCTAAAAGTTTAGAATTTCAGGCTGAAACATTAATGAAATGAAATGGAATAAATGAAAAAAGATTAAAAATGTGGATCAAAAAATTGTACAAAAATTCATCATCCATTAGTACTTTTTAGTCAAATTATTTTTGCAAAAATAATCATAATGAAGTGAGTTTATAATTAATAATTGTTTACAATTGCACAAATTTAATTGCCTTTTTCAAAATTTTTCAAAGTGATCTAATTTTCAAACACAAATCACTAAAAAATAGCAAAAATCTTTTTACACTTCAAAAACAATCGAAAATTTTATTGCGTGTATGAATACGTATTTGTGACTAAAAATTTGCTGAATAATTTAGTAGCTTTCATTTTTTGCTAACAGAAATGTCTTCACTTCTAATTACTCTTTGCTTCATTTATCGCTTTTGCTAAGATAAGAAGCAATTAAGTATTCCATACTTGTAATTCAAACTTAAACTTTCAAGATATTCAGAATCGCAAGGAGATTATTTATTGTTCAGTATTGCAAAGAACAATTGATGGGAAAGTAATTGCACATAAGTAATAGTAATAATCTCAGTAATGAACGAATTGAAAAGTAACTTTGTTTGCTTTTTTTTTCAAATATATTGCATCCCTGATTATTATTCTGCCTAAAATACTTTTGAATGTGTTTTTACTTGAAATATTCCCTTGAAGTAATCTCAATCTCTTAAATGGTAAAATTTTTACACGGATATTAAGCACACGCATAAAGCGAGTAAAATTCCTAAAGCTATTCAGTTAAAAGCATTTAAATATGAAAATTGTTGGGATAAATTCTACTAAAGTAATGATTTTCCTTTAATAATAATTTTCTTTTTTTTAAATTTCTTTTTGAAAATAAAAAAAAATTACTCTTAACAAGCAACTGAACGTTTGTTTATTCATTTTTTGTTTGTTTTTGAGTATACAAACTTTGTGCAACTTTTAGATTACTTTGAATCACTTCAGAATATCAGACAAAGCATTGCATACTTTGGAAAAAAGGATAGACATTACAATTATTTTGCTTTATAATAAATGAAATGGATAATAATGTCACTTTTATGTAAGAAATAAGCTTTACTTGAAAGCCAAAATAATGAATGATAATTAAGGCTTGATGGAAGCAGCGAATTGACTTATCAACCAATTTCGTGACTGATTGATAATAATTCATGAACCAATTGTTATCTGAATTACTCAAAAAATAATAATTGCTTATGAATAATATTTTGGAGAATTTTTTTGCGATTTTTTCGTTTGCGTGCGGTGAAAAAATCATTTTCGTCTTTCTGAAGAATGGAAATATGATGCGAAAATGACCTATTATGTTTTCTAAATATGCTAAGAAAAGTGAAAAAAAAATTGCAATATTTAGGCTATTTATTTCATTTATTTATTTATTTATTTATTTACTTATTTACTTATTTATTTATTTATTTTATTTTATTTATTTATTTTATTTAATTAATTTATTTATTCATTAAATAAACATAGAAAGTTTGTTCTTAACTTTTTTTCTCTTTATTTGCTATTATTTTGGAATTTATTGAAATGCAAATGACTACAATTATTGAGCATTCACTCACATATATCATATAAAAATGCATAGATAAAGCACATGTGCTTAAACGATTCTAACCTTTTGATCAATCAATATGCAAATCTATAGTTAAATTATTCAAATCATATTCGATAGTTTTCAGATTAATTAAATAATTATACGCCAATTTCAATGCATTAATTATTATTTTAATATATTATAATGCTTTTCTTTTGAGATCGTGCAAATACTTTTTAACTTTTTTGTTGTAATTATTCATTTAATATAAAATTTATACTCGTTTTTTCTTTTATTATTCCGCAAAATTTAACTTTTAAAAATATACTTTGTCAAATACTTTAAAATATACTTATGCACACAAAAGCGTCTACAAATATACATAAATACAAATTAACTAAAAATTAGGCATTTGCATGCATATATTTATATGCAAATATGTATATTAGCACAAGAGTATATGCAAATGTGCAAAACTCTTAAAGTACCTTTTTGAGGAAAAAACTATTCACAATGATAATAAAATCAATCTAAACGCATAATTTGACACGCGAAACACGTATAATAATAGACGCATCCATGCATGTTATCTCACATATATGCATCCACATTCATTTACAATTATATACGAATGCGTACTTTTTCTTCATTTAAATATCAAAGCAATTTGAAGTCATCAGATTAATAAAATGTAATATAAAATTGCTGCCAAAGAGAATTTACTCTAAGATAAATATTCCTGCACAAAGTTGGAAATAAAAATCTACTTTTATCGAAAACTTATTTAGTATTTAAATTTATTAAAAAAAAATTTTAATTGCACAATTTTTTTGAACTTATTAAATCTGTGAAAATTAACGTTTTGAAGTAAATGAAATTTAGTTTTTTACTAATGATTAATTAATTCATTCTCATTTAATTGATTAAAGAATAATTTAAAATAGTATTATCAAACAATAGATTTATGCATAAATATCTGTGATAATTTTTATGCATATTTGATCAATTATCAGTCAAATAAATGGAAAATCATTTTTAATAAAACAAAACTAAAAAATTATCCAAAATATAGTACAAATATAAGTAATTGAAAAATAACTAAACAACAAAAATGAGCAAAACAATCAAAATTTATTCTTTCTGTCATTGCTTATTTACTTACATATTTTGTTTTCTTTTCAGTTCTTTCCTTTTTTAATTTTTTCATATTTTTAATTGCATTCTTTTTTATGTTTTTAAGTATACAAAGCAAATAATAGACAAACTAAATGCATATTTCTTGCCAAAACTTTAGCATAAATTTTCAAAAATCATTCCACATTTGGAACTAATTTCGATAATACCAAAGAAGGAAGTCAAATTCTGATATGTTTGTTTAATTATTGTGAAAAATTAATTTCACAAGGCAAAATATTGTCATTATAGGCTGCAATTTCCGATACTATAAGCAATAAAATATTGATGAATATGCAGTCATGGACCAAAATTATTACTTTTGATCTGCTCTCTATTTTCAAACTTCACCAATATTTAATTGCATTGATTGATTGAAAAAGTTGAATGATTAAATCTTGACAAGACTTAATATTATCATTTATTTACTCTAACATCGTCAAATGGTATTAAAAAAATTTTTTGCAGAATACGTATTCAAGCAAATTGCGTGACTTAATCAAGTGTAGATATTTGAAGTATGGAAAAAAATCTCAAATTAGATGAATTTAAAAGTATATTCTAATCACAGTCTACTGCCAAATCTTTAATCAAGTAATTGAATTTACCATTAATAAGTTTGATATATTGTCAAGAACATGATCTTTGAGTTCTGTGAAATCTTTTATTAAAAAGTTCAAATATTTTTAAACTTAATTCTTAAATACAGCACTCAAAAGTATAATACAGTTTATTGAAAATACTAAATACAGAAAACGATACAGCTTTTGGTCATTTCAGATTTGAAGATTGTATAATTTTTATCAAATTCAGCTATCAATGAAAAGTTATCTTCTCGCATTTATCAGTTTATTGTTAGTCAAAATATGCAAAAACTTTATTATATGTATATATATTTATTGTGTTATCTTCTAGAAAATTTTCATCGAAGAAAGAAAAGACATTAAATGGCACTCACAAAAAAAACCTTATTTTTGTCGTCAAGTTCAATTATTTGACTAATGCATAATAACATCTTAGTGCTCGGTACTCTTAACAAAATATGAATTATGCATTCTGAATAATAAAAATCTTTTTATATTATTAGATGACTCCCAAATAAAACACAACTATAAAACGGACAGCACATATTATTTCTATTTTTTCAAGCTTTCAAAATGGAATTACGTTGTGTATGTGGTACATATATCCGAATCAAATTTTCATTAATGCTCTCATTATTTTTAGCGAATAGCAGAATTATTTTGATTGTTATTTATTAAAAATTAAAAATAAAAATAAAAAATATTAAATGTTATTTATTAAAAATTACAACCTCAAATAAAAGCAGAGGAAAAAAATTTCGCCTGAATTATATTATTTAATTTAGCGCAAAATATGAATTTCATTGCTCTTACAGAACTTTTCAGATCAAATCACTATGAAAGCATTGCCAATGGCTTGTTTGCTTTGTGCAGTTTTCCACGCTAATCTCATATTAGCCACAATGTATGTTACAAAAATTACGATTAATTTTTGATATTAAGTCTACTTTTCAGTGAACTGCAATTATTGTTAATGAAAAATTTTGGTGCATTTAAATATTCTGATTCAGGTCCTACATGGAAGACGTCCAGAATGATTTTGCGATCAATTTTCTTAAAAAAACAGCAAATAGAAATGGCGGGACTTTCATATCACCTTATGCTCTACTGAAAACTCTTTTTCTACTATATTCAATAACTGATGGAGAAACTAACGAAGAAATATTTCACACATTAGCACGAAGTATCTAAATAAATATACATACATAAATATATAAATATAAATAAAAGTATAAATAAATAAAAGAATATGTTAATACATATATAATTCTTAATGATTAGTTTTCAAGTATAGCAAAAGATTCTGCAGTTTTTAAAAACGTTTGCTTCATCAGATCAAGCAGTTGTACATCAAACTTTTGTAGATGGAAGTCAAGAAGAGTTTAATTCATATATTCTACAATTTGTGCTGGAAAATAAAGAAAGAATTCAGAATCCCTTAGCAGTTCACTCAACAAATCGTTTTTATATTTCGCGACTATTAGCCATGAAACCTGGATTGCCAAGAATTATTCAGCTTTTTTTTAATGAATCTGCATATGCATGGGATGGCAGGCATAAAAGTGAAATTGCTGAGGTATAATGCAAATAAATTATTAATGAAATTAGCATAATTAGTTACGTAAAAGTTACTAATAACAGAATTTAAAACTTTCGCACTAGCACAAAATTTTAGACAAGTTTACTATATGTATGAATTTTTTTAGAATATTAATACTTGGGTGGCTCGAAAAACCGATAATATTGTAAGATCTGTCTTTCATTCAAGTAATGTGGAAAGTAGTGCCGATATCTGGTTTTTGAATATGATCTTTTACGATCTTCAGTTCAAAAAAGCATTCAAGCAGTCGCAGAAAGCGATGTTCTTTTTTTCTTACAATGACCTGTCATCCTCTGTGAGTACAAGCTCAGTCTTCTTTATATACATGCATATATGAATTTGTAATTATTACTGTAGATAATAGTAATAAGAATAGTAATATTTATGATACTAATAGTAGTTAGAAGTACTTGTGCACTGCTTTGTATATTTAGTTCGAAATTATATTCATAAGTAATTCAGAGCTTACAGAAGTTGAAAATTCTTATTTCACTTGAATATGATCCAAATAAAAAAACAAATATTTTATTACTGATTTAATTCTCAATTCTTGAATTATTGTTTCAAAATGCTTTTTTATTATCAAGTAGTAAGTAGACAGAGCAGTGAGTAAAAATTCTTAAAATATATATTAAATGAAACTTTGAATTAGTTAGTATTTGAAAAATTTAAGTAGAACTAACCATATAACAAATATAAGTTTTGTATTTTAATGTTTGACTTTTAATATTAATAGAATTTTTGATTACAATATAATAATAATTGATTAATTAACTGAAAAATGACAAAATAATTTGTTTAAATTATTTTTAGCTTAAATGGCAATTCGCAAAAGGTATTTTTGAATATTATGCAGACGATCAAGTGCGATTTGTAAGACTGCCTCTTATAAGTGATTCTGATTCCTTAGAATGTGTCATCATTTTGCCAGCACAACGTTTTGGATTATTTAAATTCTTAAGAACATTATCAAGCAGAGAATTAATAAATTTGATACACCATGGTAGTCCACATTTTGTAAAAGTAATTACTTTATCTTATTTGAAAATGTTTTTTCAGCTAGCAAAAGATTCAAATTTGCACCTTTAAATGCTTTTCAATGAAAAATCAAGCAAATATTTTAATTTTAACTCGAAAAAGATTTAAAAATTTTATCAAAATTTCATTTTTGCATGTTAACATTTCAAATTAATTCTTTTTACATTTTGCATTAGTATATTTAATTCTTTAAATTATTTGAATTTTTATTAATTAAAAAACTGTTGTTGTTTTTGTGTAATGTAAAAAACATATCATTGTAAAGAAGAATTTTAGGTGAGAATACCAGAATTCACTATCGAAAATCAATTGCTTATGAAGAATAAATTGAAATCTGTAGGAATTAAAAAACTTTTTGCTCAAAATTCAGATTTTTCCACTTACTTTTACCGTCCGATTTCAATCGAACAAATCATACAAATAGGAGGAATAACGGTAATTATACTATTATCATCATAATAATAGTGATAGTGATGATAAATAATGATGATGGGAATAATTTTAATACTATAAACAGTTATTGAAGCAAAAATTTCCTTTTTATTACTATGAATATTGTATAGAAAATTGCAAAAAGTACTCTAATGAGACATGAATATTACTTATATTTTTTAATTCAGTTCATATTATTATTTTCTGCTTTGTGAAATTATTTTTTCAGTTCTTACCAAAAAAAGGATCGAGGAGATCGCTAACCCCAAGTAGTGATATTCAGAATAGATCAGTGCCAACAGTTAATTTCATAGCTGACGAACCATTCCTTTATTTGGGCATCAAAAATAACAAAACTATTTTGTTTGCTGGCAAATATGATTTTGATTAGTAATTCGCAGAAGTTTGTAAAAAGGTTTTCATAAAATAGATCTATGTGATGTATTCTATTTAGCAGTTAAAACTCTATGCGGATATCACAATTATTATTTAGCAGAAATTGAAATTAATGCTGAAAAATTCATTGCCGTTTGTTATGAATATATTGATGGCTTTATTAAGGATATTTTAACAACATGAAATTGAGCTGATTTCCTGAAAGACTTTAGAAAATGCAAATGACTGTAATTTGCTGTCCAGAGATTAAATTATTGCCACAATTATGCTATTAAATATTAATTCAAAAATTAATATTTAATTCATTTAGCTTAATAATACACAACAGATTCATCAAGACGAAGGGTTCACATTTCAGCATTTGATACACATTACAGTTTTGCTGAAAACGCAAATATTGCTCACTGACTTTTATCATTTTTCATATCTCTGATATATTTTTCTACCAGTAGAAAATAAGCAAAAAAAAGTCAAATTTTGTTCAACTTTACTTGCATATAATTTGATTTAGTTATTTAAATTTAATTTAATAATGATTATTTTTGAGTGCTAACATATATTTGAATGCTGAAGCATATCATGAAGTGATAAAAATATGATGATAAATATTCTATAAATGATAATAAAAATGGTATGAAAAGATTTGTGCTCTGTTCAGAGACTCAAAAACAAGAATTGACCGTATTCAACGATATTGTGCAAAACATTTTCTCTTCAGATATTCAAAGTTTGAATTCAGTCTCATTCATTAATTTCATTCTTCAAAAATCATTTGGCTTCAATACTTCGACCATTTTGTGATAATTTCACTGCATAATTAATATGTATCTCTTTAATGATCTTAAATTCTTAATGGCATCATACAGTTAGTGTAGAAAGTGAGTTTAAAAAAATTTTTGATGTGCAAGCAGTGTAATCTGCTCAAAAATATTTTTATTTACGTTTAAAATTTTTACTAAATTTCTGGCAAATACTTGACAGTCTTTGATAATATTATAAAAATTATTTAGTCGCTTTCATTTTAGTGTTAATTAATTAAAAAATAGCTAAAATAGCCAACTCATATGATTAATACTTTCAATAGCATTTTAATTTTAATCATTTTTCTGAGTGTAGCTCAATACTTGTTACATATGCTTATGATATGCTTAGTGAAATTATGATTGATAGATGAAATCATTATCAAATTAACCACAGAAATAGTTACTGTAAGAAATTACCAGAAAAATGAATCAGTCAGTTTCTATTTATTTGCATAACTACATGATAACTTTTTCCTCTTATATTACTAACAATTTTTCGTAAATTATGATAAATTTATATGTTATTATTGTATAAGCTATTACCTTATTATTTTTTAGAATATATTTTATTTCTAGACAAAATATTAGCTTATTGCGATTAATAAACTTTTGATGCGCGTGCTCAATGCAAAATAGTTTTGATTTTATTACAAATCCCCGAAATTTGATTACTTATCAAAGTTATTCATCCTTTGTTGTATACTCGTAAAATAATGCTTAAACTTAAAGCTTGTTTGCTAATCATTTTTGCACATGCAGTGATAATTTTTATATTTGCATCTGAAAATATACTGAACTAGCTTGAATATAACTCAGTATCATAGCTAAGCCTTCACAACTGTAAAGCATTACTTGAAATTAAACTGCTGAGCATTCTTGAATGCTAACAAATTGTTTCGGAATGAATCAGATGAGCACAGATGAAGGAGTCTATCCATTCTCGACGAATTTCCTTCTTCTTTTTACACTGTTCGATCATTGCGATGATTATTTGCTTTTTTTGTATCTTCTGTCATATACCTCGAATCTGCTATTGTGCTTACTTAAAAAACCTTTCAAGCAAAGCACTTTTCGCACATCAATTTAGATGATTTGATTGCATATTCATTATATGATAGCTGCAGTATCATTGTTATTCATTGTTATTATCACTCTTATCATTAGTAGTAATTATTAGATCACTATTATAAATAAGGCTTACTTATTTACAAGTAGGCAAAATCTTTCTCATATCTGAATACAATTTCTGATTCTTTAAATTAATTTCATCATTAATACATTATGACTACATGTAATTAAGATTTTTGCTTGTGTTTGATTCAAATTTTCATTTTGAATGGCTTTTTGTTACAACTAAATTTTTATTTTTTCGATTGTTTACAGAAGTTTTTAAGCAATTATGATCCGGAATCTCGGTAAGCTTTGTTTGTATGTGTTTATTTTACAATTATTACAATACTCTCATTTTGCATTACTTTTATTTATCTGTAAATATTTGATTATTAAGCAAAAACTTTTAAATAATTAATTGAGAATTTTGTTTCTATACTATAACTTAATATGTATTATTTTATTTCATATCCAATCAAAATTCTTCGTTTAATTCAATAACTATAGTGATTAAATATTTTTAGGTAAATATTTGCATAATTTAAAACCAGAATATGACGATGATGTAGTGGACAGATGTAATTACTTGCTAACAAATATTATACTTCTCTTATGTGCCATTACAGTCGCTGCAAAGCAATATGTTGGCGAGCCTTTGCAGTGTTGGATGCCTTCTGAATTTAAGGTTTATATAATAAATCTTCGTCATTTTTCTCAAAATAATATATTAGCCATACATTGTTTGCAATTATATATGAAGTAAATAATTTTTGTTACTCATTTCAGTAAAATTACACAAAATAATAATTATGATGCAGTGAATATATATGATTGTATTTGGCTTTTATCAATGAATTTACATAAATTATTCATGTTTTTATGCAGTTAAATTTGCATATTACTCGTTAGCACTTGCAATACTAATGTAATTAACGTTACGTCTCACAAATTTTTTGCACATTTTCAGTTAACATTTTGCTACTTTTACTTGTATTGCTGCAAAGTTATAAAGAAGAAATTATAATTTACTTTCTGAAAGTATTGAAAATGAATATTATTTTTTATTTTATCCCTTTCTGTCCATCACGTGAAAGTTTTTGTAGAGTAATTGGGAACAGTACATCGAGAACTTTTGCTTCATAGAAAATACTTATTTTGTTCCCTTCACAGAGAGTATTTCTTCGGTAATTTGCATTTCGCATATTTTTACAAGTTAATATAATTTGGGATTTTGAACTTTTAATTAATTATTGGAGCAAAATTTTGAAGTAAAAATATATTTGTTGCAATTTTTAGTTCAGCTTTTTGAAGAAAGAAAGTTGCAATATTGAGGCAGTCTGTGATTAGTTGAAATTTGATGATTAAATTTAAGCCAATAAATTATTAATTTAAATTATTAAGGATATAAAAGATCGCAATCAGCGTCAAATACACTATTATCAGTGGACACCATTTATTCTTGCTTTTCAAGCGTTACTATTTGTAACACCAAGAACCATTTGGAAAATTGGTAGTCGACAAATAGGTTTGCTTCTAATGTGCAATAATAAAAACAATAAAAAATAAACAAAATAAATTGCAGTAAGAAAATAAATAAAGTTACTTGCAACTTAAAAAAAGACTAAATTGCTTGTTTTTAGGATTGAATATGAAAGCAATTATTAATGCAACAATTCTGACAAAAAAAGTTGGCAAAAAACAATTTTTAAAAAAGGTACGCATTCTTTTTTGTATTAATTTCATAAAGTTTGAATTGAATTACAATGAAAACATTCGTTTAATACATAAATAATCAAATTTTGTATTTGAGGAAAATGTGCACAACTCGGACAATTTAATGCGCCAGGCCCGAGCTATTTATTATTTGATGGCTTTTAATAGAAAAAAAATTCACTGTATGAATTTAAAAGGTACCTAATGAAAGTAACAATTTTTAAATGCTTCTTACTTATTTTGAATGATTTAAGCAAGCATGTAATGAGTGATACAACGTTAAAATACAAAAAATTAAAAAATTGTAAAGAAAAAAGCAAATTTTATTCTGAAGAAAAAATTTAGTAATATTTAAATTAATCTGATCTAATCTGATCTTACTTGCAACACTACTTGCTAACTTTTTCTTGTTGAAAATATTTTATTACTAAATTTTATTTTGCTCGACAAAATTACGTAAAAGTTTTGATTGAAATTTGGAATGTAAATATTGATCAAATTTATTTTATTAAAGTATAAAGTATTACAATACATTTTTATTTATAAATTTGACAGTTTTCTATTATTTTTGTAATTTTGCAAAACTTTACGCAAATTAAATACCAAAATTACAATAAAGTAGTATGATAAATAATTATTTCACTAATATTCGCAAATTAATAACTTCAGAAATACACTAAAAATTACTTTACAAAAATATAAAAAAATAAACAGCTTTAAGTTGCAAAAATGTCAGTCAAACATAGTATTCTAAAATATTATTATATTATATGCAAATTTTGCTATGGATAATTCTGATAGCTAATTGTGGAATGTAAGGGAAACTACCTTAATTCTTTATTACTTACTGTATGCTAAAAATATTTAATACTTTTGTATGTTACTCAGAAAATTAGACATTTTACTTTTGCAGTTCACATAAAATTTTGATCAGAAACAATTTCATACGTTCAGGAAAGCTTAAAAATGAAATTGTATGAATTTTTAAAATCATTTTGAATACTTCTTTTAAAATTGATTTACGTAGTAATTACGAGATTGTCAGAAAAAGTTATAATTTCTATTTTAAATACAATTTGTAAAAAAATATAACTTTTTATAGGCTGTTTTCATAAGAACTTATCTTTTCCAACAATTTTGAAGAATTTATTTCCAATATCTTTTTGGAAAGTTCATATTACGATATTATATTTATCCTGCAAAAGTTTGAATGCGCTTAATGTCATTGGGCAGTTTTACGTATTGAATCACTTCTTTGGGATGCATTATTCATTATGGGGATTCGGAGTACTAAAAGATCTAATACAAGGCCGAGAATGGTCTGTAAGTGGCAACTTTCCAAGGGTTCGTTAAAATAAGCTAACTTGCAATTTTTATTTAATTTGATTTATTTATAATTAACTAACTTTTTTAAAATTATATATCAAGTATAATTTAATTCCGAGTATTTTAGTCACAATTATGTTTCACTAATTATTTCTTGTTTGCAAAAAAAACTTGACTTACTTTAAGTATTGTATGAAATTTTTTTTAAGGTTACTTTTTGTGATGTACAAGTGCGTGAAATTGGCAATACGAATCGTAAAACTGTTCAATGTGTTCTAATAATTAATATGTTCAATGAAAAAATATTCATTATCCTTTGGTTTTGGCTAATACTTTTAAGCATTTTAACAATAATTAATTTAATTTATTGGATTGTGATAAGTGTGGTACCAAGTTATTCAAAAAGCTTTGCAATTTCTCATATGGCAAGCTTCTTTTAATTTATTTTATTACAAAATTATTTCATTTTACTTTTATTCAAACTTTTTTAGAATTTTTGTTTCTGAAGTGAGTTGTTTAAGTTGGAAGTTCTTAACTGATTGTTAAATCAGAAACTTAATACTATATACTGGAGAAATATTGAAGGTTAAAACCTAATAGAATTAAATAAAGTATGTCAATGATAAATAATAAGTAAAACAGAAGATAAGTTTAGAATTTAGTAAACAAATGATAAAATAGAATCTAATTTTGCCCTAATACAGTTTAGTCTCGTTGAAAAAATGCTTTCAGACATTCCATAATATTCATATACCAAATGAAGAACTTGACAACTTTATATCTCAATTTCTTGGAAAGGTTCGCTTTTATATATTACTATAATTTTGCGAAAATTAAACAAAAATAATTACATGGCAAAAAATTTTGATCAGTCTAATTCGAAATTCTTTCCTTAGTTTTTTAGCGATAGAAAGATAACAAGCATGAATTTGATTTGTATTATCATTATAGCAAAGTAAATATTTTCGTCTACAAGTTCAGAGGAATAAATTGAAATTTCCGCAAATTACACTAAAATAACTTAACTTTTTATTAATACTTGACCTTATATTAATGCTCATATTAAACTTTTACTGATACTCAGATCTTGATTTTGACAACACGTTGATAAGACTGAAATTATATCCATCAATAATTTTTGAAAAAAAGTGAATTTTAATAAAGGATTTAGCTGTTAAAATAATAAAGAAAATTATTTCTAAAAATTGGAAGCGTGAAAAAGTTTCTTTTAAGTCATAAAAAGCATACAAATACTGCGAGTATCTGAAATTAGAAAATTAATTTTAAATAAGACAAATTTTTAGAAAATAAAACGAAGTTTTATAAAAGTTGTACAAAGCAGTAGTAAAGTTTTGCTAATAATCTATGCAAAAATAAAAAACAATCGAAGAATTTCGATCAAACACTTTCCAATTTCAAAGTTTTTGTCGCAATTTATTTTTCGTTAATCTTAGGATGCACTCACAGTATTACATTTGGTAAGTGATAATGCTGGCGAATTAGTAGCAGCTGAACTTTTTGTGGCTTTGTGGAGTATTTATCAAGAAGACAAAGAATTGGAAGAGAACAAAAATGAAAAGTGATCAGATTTAATAATTATCAATTATTATCACTCCTCTGTTTGCAAAGATAAAGCTAAAATGATTGACTGATATCAAATAATTCAGACTAGTTCACTTAGCAGTCCATATTCAGAAAATTATATCTAAGCATGAATGCGTGAAGTTATGATGTTTATCATTTCCGCTATTTCCATTTAAATTATGATTTTATAGGTCCATTTGCTCTATTATACTATTACACACTGTCCTTTTATCAAAAAGATCACAATAATGTCATAAAATTTAAATTTACAGTTGTTAACCATATTATACAGATGATTAACAAGTTTTCGACAGTACATTATCATTTTATCAATCAAATTTGATTCTCATATCAGTCTATTTCTTTTCACTTTTTCAAATTATATTTGGATCTATTCTGTTCTTGTTCTTTCTGTTCCATTCCTGTTGTATTATAGCAAAAGTTAAGTTCTCAATATGTTTGCTGCTAAATGAATGTCATTGTAAACAATGTAAACAATGTTTACAATAACATTCATAGTTATTGGTATAAAAATTATTTCTTCTGTGCAACAGTAAAAATTGAATTGAACTGAACAGCATCAAAAACCCTCCTTCTTTCCATCTTCAATTATTGCAATGATTCTACAAAAAATCTGCCATCTGCAAGTGAACTTACTAATTACTTTTTTCTCATAAACTTTGCACCATTTAAATTTTGCATATAAAAACAGCCAGCAAGCATGAATTATATTAGTGAATGAACACATAAAAGCAGCGTTTAAAATGAAAATTTTTTAGGTAATTCCAAAACGACTCGTATTATAAAACTTTTTTAAGTCTATAAGTATAGACTTAAAAAAGTTTTCATGATTGAAGTAAACGATTCCAAGTGAACATTAAATACTTCGCTGCAGCAAGCCAAAAAAGTAATTTTTTATAATTTTTGACAACTTGTCTAGCAAAGTTAGTCTTTGCAGTCTGATTAAGTACTTATATATCGTATAAATATGCGAACAATTTGAATTTGAGATTTACTTGCATAAAATTCAAATACAAATGTACATTTGTAAAGAAAGGCAAAAGAATGAAAATAACAGCTGTCATCTTGTCTTCCCACCTACAGAATTTTCAAATAATAGTATGCAAAGATGTGCGAGTCACAAGAATCAAAATTAACTAATAGCATCATCATTGAAGTAAAAAGCGTGAAAATGAATATGAATAAAAAATTAAATAAAAAGATAAACGTTGCATAGAAAGTTAAGTGGTTAAAAATGCTCTTTAAAACTTCTCATAGATAGATTGATAGATGGATTGATAGATTGATCAATAGATCTACAAAAAATAAATGAAAATAAGATACTAATATTCATAGGCGAAAGTGTAAATAAATAAAATTATGATAATACATGCACATATGTGAAGTATGAAAACTTTATATTGAAAACTATTCCAATCGTAGCCCGACAGAATAAATCAGCATAATAGCCATCTGTTTACTGAATTTGCAGTGCTTTGAAGAGAGGGAAAAATATTCGCAGAATTTTGATTAGTTGCGAGCGAGCTTTGATAGAGATGACTATATGCCTTTTTTTTATTACAACAAAATAAATAATTTAGAGATAGCATTTTTGGAAGGTTTCCGAATGTAAATAAGGACGATCTATCTCATCATAAGTATTATAGAATTCCGAAATGCTAAATAAAATCGAAAAGTATGAACCTTCTTTGTAGTAGTTTGCTCAATGGTGTCACAAAGATGTTTACATTGTACAAATAGTTTCTCTCTGTAAGTTCATATCTAAAATATATTAAATGTATTTGTTAAAACCTTGTAGATCCTTTGCTATTAAGCTGAGTCAGTATTAGTTTATAATATTACATAGTGGTATTAATACTTTAATATCATATTGTATACCAGCCTATTCCTGTTCAGAAATTAATTTAACATTACTAAAATGATCAGTTTAACAGTGTTTCATCTTGAAATGTTTACACTCTCCTACAAATACCAATCAAATATATATGCATTCATTTTCCTACTTTCGGTTACTATTCACTGATCGAGAAAAATTGCAAAAAATTGTTTTGCATTTTTCCGTAAACGAAACGAAAGTTCACGTCACTTGCCCTTTAACATTTTTTTGGGAAAGTGCAAAAGTGAAGCAAACGAGAGCATATTTCAATCCTTTTTTTTTTAATTTAAAAAACATTTATCTTCAGATTCTCAACTACTTTATCAGATATGAAGAAAATCAACACGTGATGCCTTCTATGTGTTAACCTTCCATAAATGATATTTTTTGCTTTTGAAATGCATTCAAAATTTCATTGGTTTTCAAAGCTAAATGATGAGCGAATTCACGTGTAAATTAATTCATTTGTATACTTTCTAAGTAGTAGACAATAAGAAAATCTTTTAATTTTTACAAATAACAAACAGTACAAATCGAAAAACGTGCAGATGGAAAACGTGGGAGGAATCAATTCATTGGCAGCATGAAACTGAATTGAAGAAAGCAAAAAGGTAAATTACTGTGGAAGAAAGTTCTGACATGTCTTCTTCATATCTTAGTTTATGCAAGCACACCTTCCTTTTGCACATCACTGAAAAACTTTCACCTTAGATCTTATACACAGTTTTTGAAGCATCACGAGTGGCATATTTTGCGCGGAAGCAAAGATAATCTATCATAGCTGATACAACTGAACATTGCCAGTTGTATCAGCTAGGACAGATTTTCATCTATTGCAAAAATTCAATTTATTGGATTTATCAAAACTCTTCACGTATTTACTTATCTCATAAATGTTTTTCCGTCAGACGTTTAAAAGTTACGTCCTTTCAACGCATTGTGTTCAAGGGTAAATACAAAACAATAGAACATTCATATGGTGAAATTATTCACACTCAGAGCACGTTTTCTCTATTTACGGTTCTTTTTATCTCCCTCAAGTATTGATTATATGACATCTGTAAACGAGTAAATTTATCCTGAGTTCATTCTATGCAGTGCGCACCAATAAATATACACCCTCGCAGATGTAAAATAGAATATGAGCATGTAGGTAGGTGTATCACAAGAGAGAAATACACACATGTGTGTGCGTGTGGAAATACGAGGATATATATATACACACAATATGTAAGGAGAGAAAGATGAACAGTCATACATATACGTGAAGACGTGTAAAAAGGACGAGCAAACGAACACACACACGTGTAGACGTGAGAAAGAGAGAAAGAGACAAAAAGTATAGTTGAGTGTGTCTGTGAGTATGCATACACAAAAGAGTATAACGCGCACAACGCTCCTCCTCCTCTCTTATAGGCATTCGTTTAAAATGGACGATTGTGGTAGAAAGGACTTTAGTGCCTTTTCAAGTAACCCTTTGGTTTGGTGATGATTGCGCAGTGTGGTTGGATTAGATAGATGGGTGGGTTAAGATCATAGTACACTATTAGATGGAATATTGATTTCATCTATAGGTATTTGATGTAAGCAATGGTTTGAGAAGTATATTCTGAAAACTATTCATTGTAAAATATATATCCCATTACATTACTCTGACAGTTTGATCCATATTTGAAGGGATATTTGATGAAGCATTCCTGACCCTTAGAATAGCAGCTATGCAGTCATTATTTGTACATTCCTATATATCTCCTAATATTATCTGTCTACGCTTACATTTTACACAGTAGCCTTTCGAGCCAAGCATAAAACAATACTCTTACTTTATTCATTTTCGACCTATCTATCCATCTATTCATCCATACATCTCTCCATTCATTCGTTCATTAATCACTCACTACTTTACCATTAAACTAACTACCCTTCGCTCAAACACTGTTATTATTCTCGGTTTTACTACCTAGTTTCTACAATTTCATATTTCTGTTCGCTTCGCGATGAATTCTTACAGCAGTATTGATGACAGTAATAATTATAATAATGGTAATAATAGTAATAATAATAATAATAATAATAATGGTAACAACTGCTAGTATTATTGTTGCGATCATCGCCTTGTCACCATTATTATCATTATTGAAATATGAATAGCAATGAAACAACTACCGACAACAATTTCATAACAACCCTTACATGAAGATCTATTATTAATCATAGAGTTAATTAGCAATGACTGTAATCTGAAATAGTCTTCTCAGACATTGCGAAACAAAGGCATCACTGAGGGCTTTGTCTGCTTAACTGCAATTTAAAGTATTTATATTGTAATCAATACTGTATTTGTCGATATTGCGCGTCAGGACAGTTCCCCTTAGATTCTCCAACTGCCATGCGGTAGGCAACAGGAGATGATTGAATGTATGGACCGGACCTGCTTTATCGTATCTTACTAGTGCTCTTATCTTTTTTCTCACTTTAAAATTTGCACTGTTTTTTTAATACTAATTTTTATGTTATACGCACATATCACACTGTTAGTAATTCACTTTTAACTCATTTGATTGTCATATTTTTGTTGTATTATATTGCATGCATGCATAATTATTTCGTATTATCACATAAAGAACTTTCTGGTGCCTTTTTTCGTTTGATCTGCGGTCACTTTTCTCTTGCACTGGTCATTATTATAGGAGGCGAAAATAGGTGTTGAAAAGAATTTCTCTATATTTCAATATGATTTTTGAGCAGTGAATTGTTTTACTTAAAATTATCTGAAAAAATAGATTTTATCTGTCTTTTATTCAAACTACAGATACTTCTTCATACTGTAAAAGACGTTTCATTTTGTCTAAGCAGTCGTAGTAAA